CGGACCCGACTTAAGTGAATGTGTGCTATTGTCGGTTGTCATCGTGCATTGAGCAGTACAGGCCAAAGTTTTGGCTCCAATGACCATCCCGTCGGACGCTGACTCTACGTTTGCGCTGGAAACGTTTCGTACTTTTACACATCCGTTTTACTCCTTGTTACGGATAGGATTAATAATTTTGTAGGCCGTTTCAATGCAAACCACTAGTGTTTTAGATGATTTCAACCATATTGGATAATTGTAGGATAACTATTAGTAGCTGTTTATCCGTCTTCGAAATGTATAGGTTCTATCCTAACATTATAAGATCTCGATCTTGTTTACTTACGAGTGAGTCTCATCATGTAGAGGTTTGAAATTTCGAAGACCTAAAGTCTCTTTCCTAAACTGGATTGTTGACTTAAGTTTTAATCAGTGAGTTACAAAAAATCAGTCCGGACAAGTCAAACAAGAATGTCGAAAGAGGGAACTGAAGAAGTAGGGCTTGAAATTGCGCTAGACGTAAATAAATTTTGCTAAGCTTAGAAATCCGACTCATAAGTGAGACATTGTAAATGGAGAGCAGTGTTTTGTTTAAGTCAGAGAACAAATTAAGTCGATGCACAAATAATCCTATCGCAAGAAAGGCTGTTTGAAGTCCAAACATTGAAAAGCTTGTTTACTGAACGATGGGCTCTGTCTTTTTTTACATCGCCGGCTTGAGATTTGGTGTTTTTCACCTGGTGGGTTTTATTGCAATCGCCTTGAGGCTAATCGCAGTTGCGTGCACCCTCCGTCGAGATATCGTGAATTAGATTACAGTAAAGCGGCAAATTGCACGCGAAAAGGAGCATACAAAATTGGACAGAAAATGTGTGAATTTAAGGAGTTGTAAACTGAAGCATTAAATATTTGGGTTTATGCAAACAATTATGTGAAAATTATTTTTGGTTCTGCTGATAGTGGCTGATAATTTGACATCCTTGAGCATGTAAATGCAAGAATTTGAATTGCGGTTTAATCTATGACTTAACTAAAAAGTCTTTTTCGTCGATTTTAGGGATGACCCTTTTCTGTCTGCTGATGGGAAAGTAAAGGATTTTACTAATTTGCGGTCATTTAAAATAGCAGACTTTCAAAAAGTGTTAACGCATTCCCAACTTACACGTACTATGAGACCAAATAATAATAAAGGCATTTGATTAACGAAGAAAAGTCTCGAATGAGTAAAGTGCTGGAGCTCAAGCATGATTATTCAACCTGTAAAAGTGGATCGCGGAGGCGTCCAATTGTAAAATCAACAGGGATGGGGCACGGTAGACGATAGTAAGCTTCTATTAAATGCTAACTGTCCGTGAGCAAGGATAGGCAGTCGTGTTTGAAGAGGTTGGAAAAAGCAAATTAAAATGGAATCTTTTTAAGCGTGAATGCAGACACCCACGAAGAGCTTCAGTATAGCTGCTGCGATGGGACTATCTCCATCTGCATCGACTTCTCGTTTTAACGGCGACAAGGAGACCATATGTTTCACTTCAGTAACCTCAGAGTGCTCTGGATTAGGGATGTATTTCTCCTGGGATTCGTTGACTCTGCGTGTGTGCTGATGCGTAAATCAGAGTAACAGCGAACTTATTTTGTTCGGCATATGAATTAGACGATTCTCTAGTAGCTAAGCTCATGTTCTATGCCTAATAAATAAAACAATTGATTAAAGGATCTCGTCTCAATGAAGATATTGCTACTTTATTACCTACTACGACAGTAATAAAAAACATTGGCATGTGCCGAGAATAGAAGTTTTACGGTTAGAATAAGCACCTTCGTCTGTTAAATGATAAATGCATCGCATTGCAGCTATCCGTATTTTAGAGTTGTTTCTGTATAAAAATGACACTTTAGTGCTTGTTTCGATAGTGAAGTACTTTTTTGGAGAGAAATAACCAAGTTTTAGATGCTTTTGATATCTAACTACTAAATGGGGTTTAGTTTTCCTTCCACTTTTTGAGTGACATTACCGTACTCAGAGAAATTCCTTATATGCATCTTTTCCAGCAAAATCAAAAGTGTCACCAAACATCAAACTTTGTGGTTAGCAGCTTCCTAATCATAAAAGTTTTAAGCGAAAATGGAACTTTTGTTGGGTTTTTGCGTACGGTTTGTACTCGCGAAACCATCTGCTCTCGCTCCAAGCAGAGACTAGAGTTTATCCTAAACTTTTAACTAGTAGCCCTTTAAGATAGCTGTCTGTTAATCATCCACAATTTCTCATTGTGTCCCCTAAAAGGTTTCCTTTTTAATCCGTAAATGCCCTTTAAACAAACTCTTATGAACTGTTTGGGGTTAAAATTATCACTAACTTTACAGGTAAGTAGAATATCGTCTTCGATATAAGCTGAGATAACTAATCCTGTGAAAGCTAGAATACTTGGGAGACTTTATTGCCAAAACTATTTCGAGAACATGAATCGTAATGAGTCGTTTGTTCAAAATCACTTTGCCGTTAAATTTTGCAATTGTGCTTACTCTCAATGGGCTGAAGAGATCTTTCAAGAGGGTTGAAGTAGGCGCACAAGTGCTTGGACCCACTGCACAAATAGGCGCATATCCTTCAGGCCTAAGTGGTCCTAATTTTGGAAAGGGAGTTACTTCCAGTAGACGTATTCTCCCACCAAAGTGAGGCTTGTTCCCTTCCTGTGCAGATCATTCAAGTAGTTTGCTGCCATAGCGAGGAGGTGGGTACTCCTAACAAGAACAAAGCTTTCCCATTGTAAAACACCCGATATGACCGGAAGCTCACTCTGGATCGCATTAAATGTACTATGCTTTCTAGAAAGTCATCTGATCTCTGAATCGAATAGCAGTAGTAGTCTATTTCTTCCCATTGTTACATTTGTACCCATAGTGTTAGTTTTACTTTAGTACTTCCATCTTAAGCCATCGCAATGTTAAAAGTCACTTGCCTTGTATCCCATCTAAAACACCTTACTCTTTCACAAGTGTCAATGGTTGACTATCTTGTAGGTATACTTCTGCAGTCGCACTTACTGCTAGCAGTAATATAAGTGTTCTTCACTCGGTCGGCCGAAACGCCTTTAAGGCGTATTTAGAATCGTTTTCGAATGACCAGAGACTAGAAAATTACCAAACAGTTTTGAGCATGAGTGGACGAAGTCTCTCCTTTAATCATGTTTGTAATGCCAAATTCCACTTGGAAATGACCTCAGAGTGTGGAGGTTCCGATTGTATTTTAAAAACAGTCCATTATTTCTTCCGTCGATTTATGAAGAGGAATTTTGAGGGGGAGAAATCGTCTAAATAATGATAAGCATGATATTTTTAATGTCACCAAAATTGCAAAATTTTAAAGGAGCTTTTATTCACAGTCCTTTTCGTGCAAACTTATTTGCGTGTTGGCTGACTTAATTTCGCTTTAGCTCCAACGCAGGTTATCCTATTCCATGAAAATTAATTGAATTCATATTCGTGGATGATTATGCTTATATTTTCCTCGTCTCCAGGGTGCAAGCACCGAAGCAAATAAAAGTTGGTAATTATGCTTTGAAGGGGAATTACTTTCGTTCCATTGAAATTTCGGTGGCACTCTCAATCACCACAACTGCACTTCACAGCCTTCTAATTTGATTCAGTAAAATCCAATTTAGTATTTTGCCCTCAAAAATTTACTTGTTATCACAACCAAAACTCGGTAATTTTTCTTTCAATTCGTTCATTTTTAAATGAAATTATCTCGACTATAATTACCTTCTATTTACTGCTGGGGACGAGTTTTATCAAACTTAGCTCCTTCTTGGTACTCCTGCACGGAGATTAACTTTTCAAAGTTGCAGATACGACCATTCGGTGTATATTTACTTAAAAATCCTCCAGGTTTGCTTTGCTATGCTTAGTAAAGCGCTGATAACAATAAAAGGTCCAGTCGAGATTGGTTATTGGTTTCCATAGGTTGCCTTTACTCTCCTCAGTTACCACACACGCCTATTGACTTAAAATTTACTTTTGAGAGCTTTGAAGGGTGCGGAGTTTTTTGCCTTTTTAACAGTAAATAATTAACGAAACCCGCGAAGATCTCATTGGTATTGAATTACGTATGGATTACTACATTCACCATTGGCCTTCTGAAATCAATTAGTTCTACTTCCTACTATTTTGACCATTCTAAGGAACATTCAAACAAGGGAAGCAATTGACTTGGTTGTTACCAAATGCCATTACAGCCCTGGAGACTAAAGAAGACATTACTCGGGCAGAATATATATTCAGCGCAGAGAAGGTGTCTGGGATATTGGCATGGCCCAAAAGGTCAGCCCACCCAGCGAGGTACAAGGGGTCTAATTCAAAGTACAAAAGTGGCGCCTCACCGATACCGAGGGATAAACCACTATCGTATTACAATTATATCGCCACAAAGTGGATACGTTTATGGAGTTGTTAATACAACTCAAATTATGGTGAACAAAGGAAAATCTGCCCATGTTGCCCTAGTAACAAGGCAAAATCGTATTTTTGGACTTAGATCTGCCGCACTCCTGGAGGAGTGTAAGCCTATTTGTCCTGTCACTTTGTTGGTCTAATTGGTTGTTGTCCACAAGCCAGGTGGCATGTAAAACATACAACCATCAAACTAAGTGTGCTTTGGAACTTTTTCAAATTATGCGGACGTCTACATCCAGTTGTGGTTTTACAAGAGTTTGATTTAACTTGATAAGGCACATAAAATTAAAAATACTTAGTTTTTAATTCCGCCAATCAAAACCACAACCAAACTCTCTGTACTTTTTGAATTGTGAAGGGATCGGGCAAGATTACGATAAAGTTACGGCCAGGCAAAGCTTAACTGCAATGATGGTGGGCAATCAATTATGATATATATGACATTTTATTGTTTTTGTTATTATTACCACCTTTCCAGACTGAGAACATAAAAAAGGTGTTCGTTTACTGTGAGCTCACACCACAGCTAACATTGGTGTCCTTTCGCTCTCCACTCTCTGCTCCTCTTAATGGTAGTTCACCCTAGACTGGCGGGTCAAAAATCCATCTCGGCGACGATTATCTTATCGCCTCGAAAACTGAAGGTAGTGGTTATAGTCAAATTCATCGTAATGACTAAGCCTTGTCATTCTTACCATTAGATTTCACCGAATGATACTGCGCCTTCAACCGTGATATGCTGTCGGCGATTGAGGGAATTCATTCGCGTAGCAAAAAGAGCCATTGAGTTGCACGTCGCGTCTGTGCGTCTGGAGACCTTCAATTCATCCCTCTTGGAGCTTTCTCAATCCGTGAACCAAATGGCGGAACAGGAATATGCCAATGTCTCAGCCAGTGCTACAGATCTCATGAACGCTTTTACCCGCTCCGGTAACAGTAGACGCATCTCCAATAGCAACCCCGCCAAGACGAGAATGAGTTCAGTCAGGGGAATTTGCGAGGGCTTAAGACAGGGCCTCTCCCTCGTCTCCCGAACGAACACCCTTCTTTCCAGTGAATTTGGTGAATTCGCACCCCTCCCAACCAAAACTTACCGTCACACGCTGATAGTAGTCTCTGTGCTGATTGCAGCGAGTCATATTGTAAATTCTGGTCTTCTCCTTCTTTCTCAATCCGATTTAACCCGGTATACACACGCTGAGCTTTGGGAGATAACGCGGGGGATGGAGGAATTAAGCATGCTCACAGAACAAGTTCAGGAGCAGTTGGATGAGAAAAAACAGTTTCAACTTCGTCGTCTGCTCCTAGACGAATGTCCCTTCAGTAGTGTCAACGTGCCTCTTGAGCAGCGTCTGTCAGAACTCTCCCTTCTCACCGACCCGATTGATAGCTTGAGACCAGCCTCTGTCGGTCACATAATCTATCTCCTTGCTCGCTATCGCTCTTCAGCTCTAGCTCGTATTCTTGCTGGAGACCTACTACAGGCTTTGGGATGTCCTGAAGGTAGAATTGACTTTCTCACTGAGGTGGTTCGAAAGGAGTACGAGTTTTGCTCCAACTTTCTCGACGTTATGACCCAGTCAACAGAGTTGTTGCGGAACCTTCGCCGAGCTCAGGAGACTGTGGATGCACATCCTAGGAGTATCCTGCATCAGATGTGCCCCATCAGTTCTGTCCAACGCACAAACTCTAGGATCTGTCGAAAAAGCGTTCACATCAGCAAGACTGAATCAATTGACAAATTCATTTCCACGTTTTCCGAGAAACCCTCCAAGGAGGCCAAACCGTCTGCTCTGATTGAGGAAGGCGATGAAGACAGAGGCGAGAAACACCAAAAGAAAGTTGTCCATTGGAGTGACTACTACGAGGTTCCACTAAGACATCAGGTTGTGGGGCGCTACCTGCAACTCACATGGTTAGGCATTAGTGAGGAATTGGATGGACTCTTACAGGTGGTTCACCCTACTGACTTGACTGGGACTTCAAAGGCTTCTCCTCCTTGGCCTCTGCTGAGCAAACACCAGGTTCGTCAGCTAATCAGTAGACTTCAGGAATTTGGAACAAGAGGTATGTGCATATTTGACGAGCAGTGTTTAGTTTGTGAACACTCTAGATATCTGGTAATTTACCTAAATGTCAAAGGGTTCCTACCTATAATTAGTTGCTTTGACAGCAGAATAACTGAAAATCAAATATTACGTTAGCAGTCCTTCTGGGAAAAATAGCATTCTTCACTTTAAGACCAAATGGAAATAAATGTAAAAGCAGGGGCTCTGCGAGCTCTTGAAAATTGGAGTTATATATTGCAAAAATGGTCTATCATATCAAGACAGTAATATCATTTAGTCGGTCATCAAAACGCAAAGTGAAACGGAGTAAGAAAGTCATTGACAAGTTCGTATTTGGCTTTAGTTGCATCTACAAACAATCCCTTCAAAGACCAAGGGGATGTGCGTTGCGACCTACTAGGTGATTCACGCGCCTCGAGTTTTAAAAGGGGAGAAAGCGGGCGGTCAGTGGGAGGGTTTTAAATTGTAATTGCAACTGGCTTTCCCTCTGCCCCTCGTCACTCCCGCGTGAGGTGGCAGTGCGAAATGGGAAGAAAATAATTCCATCTCTACTTAAGTGTAGAGCCTAGTTAACAGTTAACTTAAACCTCGAAAGTCAGTTTTTTTCTCTATGGAGATGAAAATGCTTAGTAGACATAAGTTTTTCGGCTTTCAGATGGCCTTCCTTTGGCAATAAAGAATGGCATTTACCGACAAGCGGAGCGAGTGAGGCTAAATGCTGACATTCATGATTGGCTCGCCTGTAAGTCAAGTTACACCTTTGTATTTTTTTCATCAATGCCATCTCTAATTACAAAGTAGCAAAACTGGACGTTTTCTTATGTCTTCTACATGAATTACTTTAAGAGTGTGTCAAAAATATTACTACCCTTTTTGTATTATGAGGCGAATTATGCTAAGCTACTGTATTGGGGATAACTTATGCATTTCACCAATTCTTTTCCCATAATGAGTAAAGTGTGTATTAAGGTGAACAGGACTATAACTAAAAGTTTGCTGTTTCCTTAAGGGCGTCCAGACAAATGGATTTCTGAGGCTGGCGACAAAGATGTGTTTTACACACCTCTTGGACAGGTTTTCAAGAATTTCTTCACCGAACTGCTGAAGAGCAGACTAATTGAGGTCGAAGAGCTCCTGAAACGACTTTCCGAGAATGCTCGCAAGTGTTTTGGTAAGAAATTAGCACTTTGCAGTCTTTCCTAATCATTCTATTACGAAGACTTTTAAGAACCCATCTAATATACTAGTCTTTCAAGGGCGACTTAGCATGATCGAGTGAAATGTACCCAAAGGTCCGTAAACAGTTATTTATGGCTGCTCTTGATCCATTAAAAAAAAAAATTTTGTCTCACCCCAACAGTTACTAATGGAAAAAATGTCTTTGAAGTTAAATGGCTAGGTTATCATGCTAGTCACGATGACAATATACTCGTCGCCTTTTGATGACCCTTTGTAGAGCGACTTGGACTGAATAAAGAGCCAACGAGCCAGCAGGTTGAGTTTTCACATCGACTACTGCGCCTCCATTTGAGTCAGTGTTTCCGCGTATTAGACAAATTTCTCGCAGGAATTTTGCAAGGATTTCAACGAATCATTATTGGGGCCCAGTCTCATCTCGAATCTGCCCCTACCGTTACAGAAATCGCCTTTAAAGCCTGCCATCATCTAAACCTATGTCTTTCATTGCTTGACTTACTTCGATTTGCATTGGAATACTTCGCATCATTCCGGGGAGAATCGGATAACCCTCGACTGATTGCAGAGGTCGTTAGTTCAACTTTCGAGGAGGAATTTATTGCACACCGATTGGTCGACTTAGAGGGGGTGGTAACCAAAATGAAGGCAAGCTGAATATTTGTCATTTCTAGTTAATTGTACTGGAAACCAGAAAAAAGTTGCAAAAATCTTCCTTTATTTCTAGATTATTAATAGCATTGATAGTCGGAGAAGAAATGGAATATACTTTGGTCATTACCACAAAAATTCCATATTTGTGGATGCATGCGTCTCTTTGAATTAGTTGGAACGTTTACGCAGTTAGTTTTTACTGAGCTAACCCACCTAAAGCTTTGGATTTTGTGTTATATTCTCTGATTTCACACTCCAAATTTAGAGATGAAAAATAGACCTGTTAAATCAATTTTGATTGCAACGTAAAATGGCTGTTTTACAGGTAATGTGAATTAGCCATATGATAAAAAGATTTTGAAATTATTCGCAGCATCTGTTGCACCCCGAAACTTCCCTGAAGGCATGAACGCTACTGACCTGGCCTAGGAGGCAGGCCGCCCGGCAATGTAACATTGCTGAGCCCCTAAGTGGCCCGTTACCAAAACCGGAAGTTAATAAACAGTTAAAGTATTACGCATTAATGTCCATAAATTGCAAATTGTTGTGTAAGGTGCTTTCAGATAAGTCCGATTAAAAAATTCAAACTCTGCAAGAATTGCGCTAGGATGTTTTTTATTTTTCATTATAAAATATTCTCTCCTAAGGATGGTCAAATGGCTCTGTGCGCGGCTCATTCCCGATTTTGGACGGATTTGGCTTTACAACAATCTTTTGTACTCAATCGAGAATTGACGAATGCCGATGGTCCGAATGTGGCGGAAATTGAGAGAATTTGTGGAGTCCTTCTCAAAGTTGTAGAAAATTTTCATCGATTTGACCTTATTGGACATAATAGTCTAACTGGCAGTGACTATAGTGCATCAGAAGTCGGTACAAATGGAATCCGGTGCCCGGAGTTGAACGCCAAGCTTGCATCGACCATCGCACAGACTACCTTAGCTTGTTTAGAGCGTGGATTCTCGGCGAATGTGTAAGTTGATCGTTAAGTTTGCAATAATTTTACAAAACCAACAATCTTAAGCAACTCTAATTAAACAGGAAAAGTAGGTAGGAAATTAGAAATTTTGTGTCGTAACATCTCTTGATTCCGTCCGACCATCAAATGCCGGCGACCACTCCAGTGTAAGTAGTGTCTTATCCACTTTGATATGGTTTTCTAAAAAATGGTTGCTTTCTCACGAGGTAACGTTTTTGTGGGTTTCTTGGCACTTGAGACATCCTTGAATATTTCATGAACTTAGAGCCCACTTCCAGCCAAGAGGGAGGAAGCAAGACTTATCAAAAGTCGTGCCCAATTGTTACTTGGGTAGACGAGGGTGGAACTTCATGCCGTACCCAAGTGCTGTTTCTATGGGTTCTGCAACAGTCTATTATTTACTTTCTCGACATCTATTTGTAGTGATTCAATGCTGCATACTATCATATTTATCCTCATTTGCGTTTGATAAGTTATCCGGGTTTGTATTTTGAAAAGGTCTGATTAATTATGGTCCCGAATTCTTCCCATGTATTGAACAGGTATTTACCACGCATGAGCTTCCATTGTCACCTCGAAATATAATTGTACAAGACAAGCTGGTAATGGAATGGGCACAGCAGTTCCATTTCTTAGTGACATGATGCACTTTTTACTACGTTCCAAAGCTCCTAGTTTACTTTTTATGTGGAATATACACCAACTGCGTTCATGTGCGCAGATACGCATACATATATGTGTATGGTATCTAATTCTTTTTCTTCCTCTCACATAGGGATAGGTCCGATGGTTTATCTTTTCTTTCGTGAATGATGTCAGCAAAACATCGCCGACAAAATCATCCCGTCTCGAGGCGATAGTGACCAAAGAGCCAGACATAAATTTTCGATGAAGGGACCCTAGCTCTTATGGCGAAATAGTAGCAATTCCCGTCCAGCTATTTCATCTCCCAAGTGTACTGTCGCCTGGGAGACAGTTGACGTCCCAAGCACGAAGCATGAGTACGCATGGTTCTCAGCCAAAATCGCATTAGTTGCTGCCATATTTTTCCCATGTGCAATAGAGAATAACTGCCTCGTTTTGTTTCAAATACTCAATATCAGTCAATAATATGATGGGAATTTTCAATGGAAAAGTTAAAAAAGTCTCAATAAAATCAATTTTTATAAATATTAAAATAAAAGCAAGCAAAATGACTTAAACATTTAATTGAATAATGTAGCGCTCCAAGCCTTCCCTGAGGGCGAACGGAGTCTTAATACTCAGACAGATTAGGCATTACCGACCTACGGTAAAGCTCAGAGCCACTGACATGGCCCGCAGGTCAACTCAGCCGGCTGATGTACAATTGTGGAGCACATAAGGGACCCCTTTATCAATACTGAGAGTTAAACAATCAACGCATTACAATAACTTGAATATTTGATTAAATCATATCTTTGGTTGAAAGTGGCTCTTTATGAATTTTCTTTGTGATTTTACCATTTTTTATCATTGCCCTTTTGAGTTCGTAAATGTTATTTCCCTTTTTGTGAGGATTTGAGGATGCACTTTTCGAGGTCATCGAACAACTAAAAAGAAATGCGGTTTATGACAGCTGGGAAGCTGGCCAACAATGTCACTCCATAGACCTATGCTTTGTTTTGTTTCCAAATCGCCTAATTACAGACTCAGACGATGCTGAAAATCCTCTTAAGGAAGTGGCTTAGCAGGGTTAAGCACATTTCGTTTAATGAAACGATAATAATATGTTTTGATGCCTAATACATTGTATTTTACACGCATGAGGTGAGTTCAGTAGCTGCCCCAATTCTGGTAGATTGACATGTTTCACTGGCATTCTTTAAACGGTCCAATAAACTCGAGTTATTTCATTGTGTCTTTTTTGCTTGCCTAGAAGCGCCAATGCCGTGAGCCGAATTAATTCTATTCAGTGCCTCCTGGCAAAATTACTGGCATTCATTGATCACATTGAGGTTTCCGAATTCATAAGTTCGGAGAAGCAAAACCTTCTTTCCCGATGCATATCCCTTGTGGATAGATTGCAACCCAAAAGGTAAGGTTTCCCTCGCTCTTCAAATAACTTTTATTCGTTCACTCTCATTGACTCACGTTTTTGATGGTTCCCTGCTTTTTAAATGTTTGAAAGTGTCAATCGGTTTTACACACTTCTCTGTCACACTTATTGACCAATGTCAACTGTTGTCAAATTTTACTTGATCTCACTGGGATGGCTGTGATCACGTGGTTTTTTGCTAACTACCAAAATCCTCTTTTATCCATCTGAATTCTTTGATAAATACTTTTTGTAGCCAAAATAGGGTACTAAGTGGAGCCACTATTCTTCGATGTTTGATAGTTGGTGCAGCCTATAATAGGGAGCTTATAATTATAGTTGAAGCAAATGCTTTAGCATTCAAACTAGCCATAAATTATCCCGAACACAAAAAGATCCTGGACACCAATTTTCATGAGTTAGTCGTTGATTTATAGAACAAAGGTTGACCAAACCCACGGTCAAAACAAATGCATCGTTGCATAAAGGTCATACAAAATTGCTGTCCATGTTTTTCATGAAGAAAAAAATATATATATAATCTATAATGTTGAAGAAAAGCAAGAAATATTTGATATACCTAGCTTAAGCTCCAAGTTATTAGGTATTTTTTTTTTTGCCTTGGTCTAAATATAATGTAGTGCCTTGAGACTACCCTGAAGACTAAAGAGGACATAATACTCGGGCGGAATACATATGTTCGGCATGCAGCGGGGCTTGGAGCTACTTATAAAGGTAAAATGGCGAATGACTTAAATGGTTCCTTTATAAAAACCAGGGGTTGAACAAACAGTTACCTAATCACATAGCTCCTCTCAATTTTTGAGTGTCGTCCTCAGCGCTCCCCTTGGTCAACCTCCTGTGTCAGGCGTCACAACGTTGACGGTGCTGTAATGGATACACCTACGAGCCAATCGTGGCAGTCATCGAAATTCGATGCAAATGTGGACATGCTTAACCGCAACGTCACTGATCCCTCTTGGCAATTCTATTAGATCTGGAGTGTCACCTTGTTTGTTAGCTGTATTGGGGGAAGGATAAATGTGCAGGCCATTACGCATGCCCATATTTAGGCGTAGGAACACTGACCTATATCCAGTCATATTGCAAAGGATGGGATTTACCATAGTTCCGTGGGGGGTAGGATTTCGCCTCCATTCTTCCTAGTCATGGTGATCTCACTTCAGCGCTATCTAGCCATATCTGTTTATCTAGATTCTAGCCAGCTGGTAAAGAAGTGATGGAGGTATCGTGTGTTCACATAGTTGATATTCTCATACAGACACGGTAGGCTGCCTCGTAAGGGAACTTTTCAAATGGTTTACGGATAGTTTTACTTCAGATTACAAGACTGGGGTAGCTGCCGAAAGTAGAGGTCATTTTCAGCCCTTTCATCAGAGATCGTCACCAATTTTCTTCACCGACAGCATATGCACTTCTTCACCGAGCCAAGGTTTATCTCCCCCCGGGTTCGCTTTATGCTGCCATTAATGCAGTGTCCCAAGACTTCCCTTATTTTTAAGCGGATTATACATATTCGGTATACAGTAGGGCTTGGTGTTACTGGCCTGTCCCGGAGGACAGCCAACCAGGTAAAAGTACAACTGCGGAGTACCTAAATGGCCATTTTATAAAAACCGATAGTTAAACAAACAACCAAAGTATTACAATAAAATTTTAGGAATTCACTTAGTCAGATACCCCTTAAAATAAGGAAATTTTATCAGGCGATTGCCTTGGATACAGTCTATTTTAGGGTCTTTCCTGAGCTAAATTTATCCAATTTAGCACTTTCAGACTAAAACAATTTTTTCTCGGCCGATAGTAATTATGTAGTAAAGCACCTATGATGCCACCTCAATATCAAATGGATTGCTCAGAATTATTGCAGTTTGCGTATTCTACTGTTGTTAATCAGTTGTGCTTATTTAAAAGTTGACTTAAAATTATTTTATAAATCAGTCAGTGAAGTCGGTTAGATTCTCTATTCTACATTTCCTTGGTTTGGTTACATGCATGGAAAACTTCGTGAAGAAATACACCCTTGCCCTATCGTCAACACATAAGACCCGTAAAATGTTCGTTTTTGTGCTAATACTTTTATCTGATAAGCCATCCAATTGACTGTTGCAGAATGGAATGCTGTGCCGGTGGTGGTTCGGGAAACCGCTCTTCCTCACAGACAAGATCAAGGGATGCGGTAAATCGTTTGCAACAGTACTTTTCTGAGAATGTGCTCATTCCCCTGCACAACTCAACGCCCTTCTCAACCCTCGAGACTCTCTCCGCAAATGTCAGAGCCTACTTCCACACCGAGAACATTGTCTCCCGACCCTTTGGCTCATCAACTAAGGACCTATCCAATAAGAGATGATGATGTTGATGTTAACAATAGCATAAGCATTATCACGATTAAGTTTAACGCGTTCCAATCCTCACGTCCTAACTCGTGGAATGCCTACACCTGCTTGAGCTTTCCCCACGGGTGACAATCCTGTTAATTGCCATCAAAGACTGTGAATTAAATCTGGGTAGATAATCATCGACTCGTAGATTCTGTAGAACCTGTTTAAGTGGATACCTGGCAGAAAATTGTGACCAATACTGCGCCACCTTAGGCAGCATAGTCTACAGGGAAATTCAAAGGCGGCCGTAGGTGCGCAGTGCGCGTGGGTTAATAATTTATGCGCATAACCCGCTCCAGACCCAGTCTGCGGTTCCCTTCCCCAACCAATGTTTACATAGTAGAGTTGCTTCACTCGGCCGAAAATAGGAAAGGTTAAGCGCGCATATCAAGTAAAATAGAACATTGCGTGTCAGGCTATAACTTGGGTCAATTTTGGGTAAGAGAGTATTTAGGATGGCACAGCAGAATGTAGCCTGTTCACTAGGCATGAAACGTTTGTGCGCGCTTCGCCTGAAAACGCTTTTTGATCAAAATTCCAGTTGTCACTCGAGGTTTATGTCCAAGTTTTGAGGAGTGAAGGGAAGCCTAGATGGTGTGTATTTAGATTAAAAGAAGGTACTTTAAACAGAGCGAGACTTGGCTGGACTGATTATTTCACGTACTGAGCTGCATTACACCTTTCTCGTACTTTTCTACTAGGATTAAGAATTTGAAATTCTAGATTAAAGAGGTATTTTTATTAGAAATTTAGCTCATTTTCCGCGTGTTTTAATGGAGGGGTTACCATTGGATATCCACCTGTTTGATTTAAAGTTGTAACTTGAATGGTGTTGTATACCATCGGGCCCAAGAATTCAATAAAATTAATTTTAGAAGAGCAAAGTTGTTGGTCCCATTTCCAATATTTTACATTTTGGTAGGCATTATCTATCATGCTATACCAAGTGAAGTTAAATTAGTCTGTCATCCACGCTGCTGTAAATGACGTCGTGTTTGACACCTAACTTAAAAGGTTGCTGACATTTAAGCTTGCGCAAAAAATTACGGTATAAATACTATCTCTACTTAAAATAATTGCGCATGTAAGGACTCTAGAAGGTCAGTAATGGGCTAGACCTTTTCAAAGACGATCATGGTCATTAAGTACTTCCATGGTAAGCCTCAGCCCCTGGCCCAGTAGGATATGCCCGGAGTACCCTAATGACCATATAGCGCCTCGAGACTTTCTCGAAGACAAAATGAGACATTATACTGGGACGGAATATGTACTACGTAAAAAAGTGCTGAGGTCTACTAAAATGGCAGACGGCCAGGCCGCCCAGCAAGGGCACAATGGCGGAGCTCAAATTGCCCTCAGAACGAAAGCCAAGAGTCAAACAAATGATCAAAGAATTACAAAAAGGTACTCACACACGATTCTCTTAATTTTCAGCGAGTTTCGGCAGCGAAAATTTCATGCAATGTATCATGCAAAGCTAATTTTACATTTTTTTTACCTTTGACAACCTCATTTACAACAGTACGTTATTATTTGAGAATCTTTGTCTTTGATATAAAACCTTTTTCATCTGTTTGTGTAATACTTTAATTATTTGTTTTACAGTTCATTTTAATTTCGCTGGCATTTAAGGGCCCGATTTTGTGCTTTAGCTGGGTGGCCTGGCCTCCGGGCTACGCCATTAGCCTCTCAGCCCTTCTCCACGTAGGCAATACATGTTCTGCTTGAGTGTTATGCCTTCTTTTGTCTTCAGGGAAGTCTGTGGACCTAAATGTGCATTAAAATTTCACCTATATTCTGATTTCTAACTTGCTGCTCAGATATCAACCCATTAAAATTGTCTAACATGGGCTTAGATTCTTTCGGGATCACTCGATCATGAAGTCGAAAAGTGTTTTAAAACCATATTTTTTGCCTTTATAGTGTTTTTTCAACGGATCATTCCTCGCCTCCATTTGTATACAATTTTTTGATCCACTTATAAGCATTCAAGCATGTAGTTATGCCTCAGCAACTATCGCACTACTACCGCATTTGAACACCACACCAAAACTCTAATGCACTCTTAGCAGCAGGGGCAGAGTTTGTACTGCAGGCAGTTTCAAACCAGTCCCTGCTGCTCCCAACCGATCACTGCAACTCGTGGAGGTCACTTGGCGCTTCTGCGCGTGGGCAACTACCAGCACCTTGATTTCAAACTCCTCTAGCTTAAGGTGCACTTAAAACATTACCCTAGTTGAGACTAATGCTTTTTTTCTAATAGTAAATGGAATAGAATTCGAGAATGAATATAGAAGTATGTCCTACATCCAAGACTTGCTGTTCATGAGGCACTATGCCACCTTTGTGATGCGCCACTGTGGATTATTGGCGGTCGGACGCGAAAGCGAGCACTGCATCGTTGAAGTCGCAAGACACGCAAGCGCTTGCATACGTCCAATCGACTTCCCATTGGCTCATGGCTTGAATAAATCGGCTTGAGGATGGCGTTTGCATGTTTCTCTTTTTGAACCGGGCTAAATGCCTCTTATTTATTAGATTATAAATCTTTTCAAAATGAAGTCAAGACAGCAGTTCCTATTTAAGCAAGTAAATTGCACGGACATCGGTCCTCGCAGATCCATTCTCGGCAGTTTTAAAAATTCCCCTTTTCTGTGTTGTTATATTAAGGTTCCCGTAGCGCACCAAAATTTCATTCAATTTCTGCATCTTAAGAAATTAAATTAAATTACCTTTGAAAGTACTTTGTCGGGCTGATGGCGAAGGAAAAATAATGTTTAGGCAAATATGTGTTGACGAAGTACAGAAGGGATTGTGGGCAAACAGCATGGCCTGTAGGCCATGCTACCCAGCGGATGTGCAAAGGCACAACCTTAAGTACCCGTGAAAACGAAACAAAGAGTTGAACAAGTAACAAAAGTATTACACACCAGTCTGAGCACTTAGGTAACTTGTGTTACTTCAATTACTATTTAAATGTACTTCGGATCAATTAGTCAAATATTTTTATTGTAAAATATTTAGCCCCCAAATAAACAAGATAGAAAGCAACCTTGAGGGAAAATGTAGCAGAATTTGCGCATTTATCTGTGATTTGAAGAGATTTGTTAACCCCCTATCTTCTTGGTACTGATCTACGGAAATCCAGACTATCAATTTACTTCCACTGACGTCTTGCGTCTTTTTGAGGAGACAAAATTGAAAAAATCAGATTCCAGAAGTGTCTCTCTCTTACTCCACGGTAATGGTTACCTGCATTCAATGTGGGAATCCTGAAAATTAATTTAAATTCACATTATGTTTAACTGTACCTATAAAATTGAAGCGATGAAATTCCTTTTTTTAGAGTGACTATGATGGGCTGAGCAAACCAAAGATACATAACTTAATTATATTTTGGATTTTAATGGAGTGAACATTTAGTCCACATTGTGCTTGTTGTGGTAACAGCTATTTTTCTGAGAAAAATGCGCATTTTTATAGCTGTCATTGCTAGTTACTCAAAAAATACCCTCATCGAAGAACAGTTTTTGAACGAATGTAATACTTAGATTATTTGCTTTACATTTAATTTTGGTTTCGTTGACATTGAGGCCTCCACAGATTGTACTTCCGCTTAGCGGCATAGCCCACGGGCCATGCCAGTTAGCCCTCAGACCTTCTCTACGTCTGCAGAATATATTTTGCCCCAGTATTATGTATTTTTTCGTCTTTAGCTAAGTTTCGGGGCCCTGCATTGGTGACAGTGTATTGTGAACCCGATCGAAAAGGGCAGCTACTCTAGTTTCTATTGCTAACTGCTTAGCAAAGTGACGGATTAAGGACATATGCTGCGGATGGGAGAATCTGTGATGACCCCTAACAGTAGGGCTGAATTGGAGGTCTACCTTTGGCAACTACCCCAGTTCTCTGTTCTGCAGGAGTGCTACTAACATTTCCAGCGAAACTAGCTGTGAACCATTTAATAAAGTTCGCTACGGACCTGCCTACAGTACCTGCATGAAGATGCCAACGAAGTGAATACGCTATACCCTATCCACCTCACTGCTAGCACTGCTATCCACTGGCAGCACCGAAGTGTAAACAATGTGGCGAAGCGTAATTGAAGCGAGACCCTACTCTAGCAGAACGATGTTAAGTCCCTATCTTTGTCATTTGACTCTGCTTTCAGGCCTGTATTCGTACGACCAGCGTTGGATATACTTGATAGCACATTCCTCCGTACCCGACCCCATCTACCATAGCGAGCGAAACTGCAGATCCAGCAGAATTGCCAATTGACTTTGGAGGTAAGTATCTTCTCAATTGCACGCAAATACAATAATTGGCGCAGTTGATTCGTTATGATGGCCGAGGTGAAGGGTTAACTAAGTGCAGCGCCGGGGACGCCGGCAGTTTAATCTTACTCTAGGTTTTGGCAACGGACCACTTCGGACCTCCTTTCATTGTACTCTTGCCCTGTGGCCTACCTCAGAGCCGTGCCAGTAACCCCAATCCCTTCTGAACGTCGACGAAGCATATTCTGAACAAATATTATGGCTTCTCTTGTCTTCGGGGAAGTTTTGGGGCGCTGCATAAATTTTATTCGATGATACCGGAGTTGCCAAAATGCTAATTTTCATCAGCGTTACCCTTTTAGTGTTGTTATATATTTGATAGGTAGCAATATAAAAAATGTCCAAATTTCTTATAAACAGCATAGTAAAATGAGTCGTTTTTTGCCTATGCAATTAAATTAATCTACATTTCCTACCTAAAAAGGCGAAAAGCGCTGTATCATCTTTAGCCTTTTATGTGCTATCTTTAATTCTAAATTGGAGTAAGACAACTTGCGATTCCTATTCACTACTTTAGAAAATACCTCTTAAGTGATAAATTTTGGCTCTGTCATTTAAATAATTTCATTTAAAAATATCCATCGGCTCTCAGTGGGACATATTCCTTCATTAGTATTTTTACGAATGGTGTGTTTCGGTGAGAAATGTTTTCACCCACCTGCTTCTGCACGCTTTTAATCCTATTTCAACTTATAGGCCTTTTGCCTTTGGAAAATAGTGATATCAGTCCCAACCTCATGATCTTCCTAGACTTTCTCACAACAAGGAATGCGATATCATAGGGTTAGGCAATGCTTATTTTTCTCATAATTACATAAACCAGTGACTGCATCACCTTCAATTAGGGGCAGATACTTGCATTGGCGCTTTCTCATAATGCAACCGATCCAGCTCATCCTAATGGATGGCGTTTTTACCAGTAGGGTATGCAGTGCAGATTAATGGTAATCCCAAATTCCGCATTGCTAAGTACTCTTTCTGTGGCATTCTAACAATGTTTTTAAGGAATCTTTAATCATTTGCCCAATTATCTAGCCAGGTAGAAGGTAAATAGCCTTCTATTAAAAGAAATGAGTTGGATTCGCGCATCCTTGGAACAATGGTGGCGGCCAAGTTATTTTTTAAAAGAAAAGGGTAACTTGGGCCGTATAATTTACAAAACAAATGCATAATAATAGTTATAACTCTACTGGCATTTTTAAATCTATCTTCAAATTGACTAAACCGAGCAAATAAGATTTTTGTTGTTGGATTTGTGGGCCCCGTAATTTTAACGACTGCGTCTGAAACCGCCATTCATTTGGAAAACGGTAGTTAGTAATTAAATATGTCATTGATGGTATTAACAACCTCTGTTAGTGCACAAAAAATTGCAGCTTTACTGCATTCGGCGAAAATCCAAACGACATGAATCGGAATGGTCCTCCAGTAGTTCTAATATGTGGCACTTTGCTATCAAGACCCGTCAAGCTTAAAATCTAGAAGTATAGCGATAAACTTTGCTTTCGTATTAGCCAGTAATGGTAATATTACCACAACTCTAATAGTTTAGTAAGATTCAGAATTTAAGAAAATTACTTGCTTTCCCCTTTGTTTCCCCTCTTCGTCTCTTACATAAACAGTGTCTGATTTACTAAACTGTTGCTGAACGTGAAAATCAGGAAACAACTTGTTCTTATCTCCATCCTTCTATGCACAGATATTTATTGATGAAAAATAGGAAAAAATTCTTAAAACACCGAAACTACATATCTGACCAATGAAAACAACAACCATTTATGCTTCAATCCAGTCGCATTCCCTCCTCATATCTGGCACCTCATCTAATAAACGAGTTTATCCAAAATGGGGCTCATTTTCCCACAGAAGGGATTGCATATAATTGTTCTTACATGGGGTTGCAGATCTAAAAACTACTTTTGTTGGCAATTTTTATGGATCATGGCCGCTTCAATTCAGAGAAACTATAATTGGCTCTACTATTACTAAATAAGTAGAAAGAATACTAAATTTAATTAAATCAGGGCAGCTGGTGCAATCCACAAATGCCTGCCACCAAAAACCAAAACTTGAATCTGGTGGAAGTTATTTTGGATTGTCCTTGAATATTATCCGCCAAATTGTCTGAATGAGAAGGCCTTTTTTTCTTTTTAAGGCCCAAAACTTAGGCCTGTAATTAATGATGTATCCATAAATCCCTAAAGGTAGAAGAATTTTGTCTGAAATGTCTACCTGTCGAAGGCATTCAGATTTATGATGGGAAGATTTTGACAGTTTTACTAGTAGTTAAGTGGTTGGATTGATAAAATTTGAATTAAGGAAAGTAAAAAGGAGGCAAGTGTTGTGATTTCTTATGCATTGGAGGTTTCAAATATAACAGATGGCTTTTCGGTATATTTTTGTACATTTTTTATGGTAATACAACAATACAGTTATGAAAAGTCTAAGATATGTGCACTACCGAAGAGAAATGAGAGAAATAGTACAATAATCACATCGAATCCCTTTACAGCTAACTTGTCTAATTTATTTCCCTGAATTTTTTTATTCATATTCCTGATAAGGAGTGATTTGAATACCCTCAACTTGATAACTCACTGAAATATTTGACCTTTTCTTCCACTAACACCTTTTTTACTGCATAGGAAACGTGAAGGTTACCTTTTTTTCGTGGACGATGGGGAAGACAAACATATGGCATATGACGGGTATCCATCACCCTACCTGCGACGGAGCTGACAGTTCCACTTGAAGGTAGTTGTCTGATGGACAGGTGAAGCTTGCAATGATCTGTCAGCTCCAGCATTACCATGATTCACACTTTTGTGTGAATAATCGTAACTTTTCGCTTATATGAATTTCAAGAAAATTGGCTCTACTTTGAATTCACTTCCTGCTTGGCCAAACTGATGTGGACTTAAGATGATTTGTTGCGTTGGGGATGGATTCACCCAACCGATCTGTTAAATGCTTTGTGCACAGATGTAAAGTGAAAAATTTGGAAATGAGTTCCTAACATTTTCAAAAATGCTTTATAGTTGAGGGCTATCCCATTCAATCCGACTGGTGAAATAGCTGACCGAGATTAGCATTTTGCCCTAGTTACAAAAATATTATTAAAGAAAGAAATTTATGCACAGTATAATTTTCATCTCTGATGTTTAAAGCCTTGAATTAATCCAATGAACTATTTTTATCCCAATTCAAACGTTTGAAATACCATATGCATCAGCCTTATAAAGTAAACGCTTCAGGTGTGAAAATGCAATTTGGTTATAAGCAGGCAATTGGAAAAAAAAGGGCTGGAAGCCTTTTTGAACAATGTGAGATCTAATTAAAATGTTCGTCAGCAAAATTTAACCAACTCACCCCTTAATTTAACCTTCTACGATCCCAATAGTTACTCAGATACCTTAAGGAAGGTGTTTTATCCACCCAAATTCCTCGGACTCAGCTCAGTTTCCTACACAAGATTGTTCCCAAAATCCGTCATTTGTGTTTCTAATCATGATACAAACATCCATGTTTTGCAACCCATATCCTGTTAACGCAAGGCAGGCTATGTTTTGACCCAAAATGTCCTCAGTTTTAGTGAAGAGTCACTTAGGGGCTCCCACACTGTACTCTCGTTAGAGAACTTGGCCTTCGGGCTAAGTCAGTAGCTCCAAGCCTTTCCGTACATAGATAATGCATATTCTGCTGGAGTACTGCGATTTCTTTTGTCGTCAGAAAAGACTCAGACTCTACATTGGTGGAAGCGGTTAGCGAATCTAGGCCTAAACGTTAACCACCCTGATTTCTACTGCTGGATGATAAAACTAGAAATGGTGGAAGAAGTGCATATGCTGCAGATAAGGGAATATGTGACTAGCCCTTGCACAAGAGTTTGAATATGACGTTATCTTCGGCAACCAACTTTAATCCCATTACATACAGGAATGCCATTAACAACTAAAGCGACACTATTCGTAGCCATGATCCATCTGAAAATATTTATCACGGAGCTGCCTGCAATACCTGTGTGAAGATGTCAATTAAGTAAACACATGAAGCCTCTTTCATTTCTCTAAGTGCTTGGTAGAACTGGGGTGAGAAAAGGTGGCAATGAGGAATAGACTTGAAATTCTATCCCAATAGAACTATGTTACTCCCGTCCTTTGTTACATGACGGCCTTTAGGCCGGGGCTTCGACGAATAGCCATCGGCACTTGTGATGGGCGGCACATTCCGCCGTCCCCGGATTCACCTCCCACACAAGACGAAACTGCAGCATAAACAGAATTGCTAAGGGGGATCAGTGACTTTGCGGTCGAGTATCCTCTCATTTGCACAGGAATTCGACGACTGGCGCGGTTAGTTGGTAGGTGTTTTCTCAGAGCACCAACTACATTGTGACGGTTGAAGTGAAAGGTTGATCAAGAGGCGCGCCGCGGACGATACTCATAAAAGAAGAGGGGCTGGAAAATACGTTATTTTTTTGTTTGTTTAGCTCCTGATTTTGGTAATGGAAGACTTAAGACTATCCCATTGCACCTTGCCTGAAGGCCTTAGCCATTCTGTATTACGCCTACTTCCGTTTTCAAAGAAGTCTCAAAGCGCTCCATATATGGAATGCAAAAATTGTTGTTTTCATTATGCAAAAATGAATCTATTAATAATTAACCATCCTCCAGAGCGTTAATGGGTTAAGAGTTTTGTTTTGCCTAAATTAAGTAGTATCTGAGCCTCAGCTTTATGATAAATTCTTAAACTGCAAAATTACAAAAATATTGTTTATTTTGTAAAACCATGCACCGATGAGATAGGTGTCTATTCACCCCGAGGCGTGAAATTTCTTTAGATGCTTCATAAGAATAAAATATCCAACGAGGGAATCAACTATTCTCCACCGTGATTTAGTACAACACTGTTACTTAAGCAATTAATAGCTAAAATACCTACTAAATTGTACAACTTCATCCGTTTCATAATCATTTGTCTCTCGAAGCACGTAAAATTACCTCGCTTAATTTCCTTATATCCAAATTCACTACCAGTTCTGTGTTGCCACAAGTGAACAAAATTTATTTAACTGTTACCAGCTTGTATTTATGCTTACCGAATCAGATGCTAATCTTGACAAGACTGACACCCTCTAAAATTTAGCACCAATTTTGAAAGATCTTAAAATTGCATCCAATAACAAAAAAAGCTCCTTCAAGGGGCCCTCATGCGATCGCCAATTCGAGGTGATGTGGAGGATAATGTACGTGGAGCAACGCATTTACGGAATAAGGTGGTGGCGCTGGAGCATGCACTGCGCGTGCTTTCCACCGGAGTCGACACCCTCGTTTTGGGAGGAGTGGAAGATCTGTTGTAGTAAATGCGTCTCTCTGTGTCACACCCACCATGCAGTACAACATCGAGGTGCGCATGCCTCGCCGCTGGGGTGTGGTCTCTTGCTCAAAAGGAAAAACACTCATTTTTTCACGACAAAAAAAGTGTAAAAAGTGTCTTGGGCCATGCCTTATAGTGGGTGGTAGCAAAATTGATCCAACTTCGAGTTGAATATGCAACAAAGTCACTTTGAAGGCCTTCTTCCTGTATCTTATCAAATGAAGGAACTGACGAGACGATTGTGCTTGTGCACTCACTTCAGCGTTAGTCATTTTACAAGCTTTTACTATTTTTACTTATTGAATTTAGTGAAATTCGGATCTTGGTGGTTTAACACTAAGGATGGTTGTTATTATCGCGCTAACGTATTGGGACACCCACACCGAGGAACAACAATGGGAGACCAAAGTTGAGATCATCATCCAAATATTAATTATTTTTTATGAGATTAACTGACCTCTTACGGCCTGAAATGAGTCACACTGCAAGTAGAATTGCTATTCTTTCCATTTAATCCCAAAGCTGATAATGAATAGTCTTCCATTAGTAGCGAGATCCTATTCAAGATTGATAATACCGACTGTCGTCAGCATATATTCGAGTGAGTGATCTAACCTAAAAAAGAACGGTTCCTCCGACTCATTTGGAATTCACAGTAAAAATGATTCAGTAGTTTGCATTTTTTGATTTGTTAAAAGTAATGTCAGTTACCTCCCCTTCAAGAAAATTTTATGACTAAATTGCTTTCAAATATGACGGTATTTTGTAAAAATGTTTGCGATTAAGGAAACGACTAGAAAATCAGAATCAGGTTATAAGTTTTTTTATTATTCTCTTCAGGAACGGAGACTTTGAGAAAGTGGATTAGCTGGTCATGGATTTCAGGTCCTACTGACACATGTCTAATCGGTCAACAGGTAGAGGTCGGTGGACCCTCTGGCCTTTACTCCACCATCAACAGACGATATGGACGTTTACGTGTCAAATGGAGGAGGTGGAGATTATTGGTCTAATGAACTAAGATTTCTGTGCTTTTGGACACTTTCTTGGGGTTAACCACTAGCCCCCTTCTATGGAAGATGGCATACTTCAATTGTGTTTGCTATCTACTCAAACTACCACCCAAGGGGCATTAGTACGAGTAAAATACGCGTTTTGGCAAATTCAGTTAAAATAAAATTACGTATTATAAACGACGAAAATGAATTTTGCTTCGACTGTATTTTTCCTCACTCAGATAGAGGGCGCAACATAATTGTTGCTCTTATACTCCAAATGGATGCACTTTTTTATTTTTATGTTATGCTTTTAGCTCCTCGAGCCTTTCCTTAAGACGGACGAAGGCATAATACGCGAGCAGAACACATATCCTACATACTGTAGGCCTTGAGGCTACTAGCATGTCTCGGAGGCCAGTCCACCCCGCGAAGGTGCGATTTCGAAGGACCGAAGTGGCCTCTTTACCAAAATCAAGAGTTAAACAAGCAATTAAAGTATTGCATAGCTCCTCTCTTCTTTTGAGCATCGTACCCAGTGCTCAATTTCATCAGCCTCTAGTGTCAGTCATCACAGTGTAATCGGCGCTCTAAGGAAAACACCTACGAGCCATCTGTGCCGAATGTAACTGAGAAGATACCTAACTGAAACTTCATAAGCACCTTGTGGAGTTTCGTCCTGTATGGAAATTGTATTTGGAAAGGAGGAATGTGTTGACTATCACGCATGTCCTCTGCTAGTCGCAGGAACACTGGCCTAAAAGCAGAGTCATATAACGTAGGAAGGGGTTTAACACCGTTTCGTGGTGGTAGAGTTTAGCGTCTTTTCTCCATACCACTTTGTTCCCACCTCGGAGCTCCTCACTGGTATCTATATGGGTTCATCCAGCCAGTAGAGAGGTATGGGAGGTATCGCGTGCTCACATATTTAGTATCTTCGTACGGGAACAGCAGACAGCTCCATAATGAACTGGTCCAGATGGTTCACGACTAGTGCTGATTTAGTTGTTGATAGCTTTCCTGCAGAACAGGGGATTGGGGTAGTTGGCAAAGGTGGGCGTCATTTTTTGGCACTTCTGATAGGGGTTTTCGTCGGATCTCTCATTCGCTTTATATACGCTTTTGCCCCGCTAAGGTTTATCACTCAGTAGTAGAAGCCAGAATAGATATCCTTTAAGGTCGGGTTAGCTTTCCATTTCCACCAATGTAGCGCCCCAAGACTTCCCTGAAGACGGAAGAAGACATAATGCTCGAGCAGAATACATATATATTCGAGATATAGAAGGGCTTAGAGCTACTTATATGGTCCGGAAACCAGGCTACTCTGTGGAGGTACAATGGGGAGTCCCTAAGTGGCCCCTTTTACCAAAACCGAGAGTTCCACAAACAACCAGAGTATCGCACAATTATTTTAAAGAATTTTATCATTCTTCACTGTGGGACATTTTAAAATCAAGTCAAGAAGTCAACAGGGAACGCAAAAAAATTGTGTAGCCCATGCACATGTGAGCAGGTATGCGGGTCCATTTGGGACAAAATTGAGTAGTGATGGTGATTTCTCGTACACTTTGATACCACTTAAAATGGAATGGTTTCCCATTTCGAATCTCGGCCTGAGTATTATACCTTGGTTTTGATAATTTTTGTCTTCCTCCTAATAATGAAGTGCCAAAAAACTCCCCAAAATGCTAGCTTTATTCAGATTTTCAGTTCTGTCTGGTTCTCAGAATTAAAATATTTGAAATAATTCTGTGAAGCAACCACGACTACGAGCAATTTATCTAGGAAGCATAATTTTACGAAAGAGCAATTGTTCACTGATCTGCCAAATCCTCTCACCGGAGCGGTGTCTGCAAGTCTAATGACAGCTGCTGAAAGGCTATTCTGTGTCAGCGGTGACAGAAACTACTTCCTCTTTTTTTGTTTCCCATCCTCTCGCTCTCTCTCGCCTCCCGTCATCTGCTCCGGAAATTGAACTGGGACCTTGGAGTGCCTTTATTGCCCTTCATTCTTTACTCTAGTTCAAATTGTTATTTATCACACAGTTGCTATTAGCCTACACTATTTCCCAGTGTATTTGAATGTTTTTTTTCAATTTTCGGATTAGTAAGAATTATTTTTGTTTTCGCATGCTTCACTTCCGCACAAGGATGACATAATTTGTGGTACTCAAAAATGCAAACGTAGAATTTTCGGAGCTATTAATTTATTTTGAGATAGACTTACAAACTGTCTTTTCAAGTGATTGAACGCATTCTTTCATGTTTTGAGCGTCTTTTACATGAAAAATAACCTAACTGTGGAGGTCACCATGGACGCTATAAAAATAATGGAGTCTTGCTATACTTCGTCCTCATAGCAGAAAGCTATCTACCGTCGAGTAGATTGCTTATAGTTACCAGGTATGGCACAACAGATTGACATTACTGGTCCATATTATCTAGTCTCCTAAAAGTTAGGGCTAGACGCGAGCCAATTATACAGCAGTCCATTCAACTGTTATGATCCAAAAACCAACCAAGAGGGGAATTTGCTAGATCATATCTGCCACAAAAATCGTCGCCGGGACCACCGACTGAGTCTTCAGCGCACTGGTCCTCCTTCCCCCTTGCGCCAAGTCAGACTGGGGGCAATTTGACGCTGGTGGATCTATGCATTCACAAATTCGCCACTATTTGTGGGTAGGTGGGTGTGTGCATTTGTCAAGAGTTTGAGTTGAATTGAGAGGAATGGTAGCAGAGTTAGGAAGGAAGGTGAGGGGGTAAGTGAGTAATGCATCTGATTTATAGGGACTTTCAGTCGACGCTTCTGCCAGACTGCTTTCAATGAGGGTTGAAGAAAATGCAACGATAAATCAGACGACTTGACAGCTCGCGGGACCTCACACTGACAAGCTCCCACGAGAACTGAATAAATTCTGCATTTTTTAATGCTTTGATTAAAAAGTCACCCTGTTGAAGACCAGCAGATTAAATTCTATGTTGTAAGTATTTACCATTGCTAGTTTGCTAGTTTGCCTCTACTTCTCCAAATTAAGGTGTAATTTACCTATTTATTTTCAGATTAAATGGTAGAAACGAACTATCGATAGGACTGCTAGACTCCGGTTAGATTTAAATATAACGGATAAATTTAAAAACCAAAATTATCATAATTCACCGAAGTTGTCAGAAGTCGATGAGGAAACACTGGCGATAATGCAATCAGATTCAGGGCCATTTTTCGCCCATCAAAATTGTCAAATTTACAAATAATTTAACAAGTAACTTAACATTCCTGAGTTGGCTTCTGATATGTAATGGAAACCATGGTAATTAATTACAAAGACACATAAAGAAATGCTAGCATTTTTTAGACTCAAATGGCTAGAGGGCAATTATTACCTCTTTTCTCTCGAAAATTGTTGCGCTAAAGTAACTGAGAAGCATGCTAACGTTTTTTTACCGAAAGGAGTCGATCAGAGAGGGAGAGAGAGAGAGTAATGGAAACATGAATGACAGGCTTTAAGACCATTCAATCACATTTGTGTTCTTATGGCGTGCGTTTTTTGGACATCGTCAGTTGCAAATGCCGTCCCTCTTCCTCCCCTTTCAGCGAGGCCCCTCCCTCTCTTTTTGCTCCCTTGTAACCCCCCGCCCCCCCCCCTCTCTCCTTCAACCCTGACAGCATCGTTTTGCTCAGCAGGTGCCTCGCGGAGGCAGGTCTACACGCGCGCACGCCTGTGCACGCGACTTGTCTGTTCTGCGAGCTGTGGCACCTCTGATTGGTCGGGGTCACCAGTGTGCGGCCAGTGCGCACGTAAAATAAACGCTGCGACGTAGGAGTGCATTTGTAAAAAGTCCAGTCTCCTTTTAACACCTCCTCGCCACGACCGGACTTGGACCGAAATAATCCCTTCATCGGACCCAACAGGGTAAGTACTTCTTTTGCCCGGCTATTAGATAAGGAGAGCTTTTGAAATTGAGGAATATATATAAAAAGTAATTCAAGTGTTATACGATGACCTCCTGACTGTTAGAAGAGTTCACGGTCAAATTCTGGGTTCGTAAACACGTCTTTTCCATTACTGCTTTAAAATGCAGGCAGGATAGCGTCAACAATTGTGGAGGTGCTTAAAGTTGTTGTGTCCATGGTATTTTAGTCACTCATCTGTGTGACAAAAGGAGAGGTATTTCTATGAATAACCTGAGTTTTCCTTCTTTGATAAAAAGAATGAAAAGGGCTGAATAACTAGGGTTTTGTGGTAAAAGTATTAAAGGTGTTTCTTCGAAAAATATTTGTACTTCTAATTGGTATTTTACATTAACTGTTTTTACATGCGGAAAGCATCACCTCCCTTCTTTCCTCCCATTTACTGGATCTTCCACTTCTTGATCCAAGCGCACAAACATATGGCAGTTCGTGGTGTCTGATGCTTGTGACACTAAGAGGTTCTGACAAACCATTTTGTCTAGAAGTGAAGGAAAAGCGATTGTCATAGCTACTTAACTTGATTTTCGCCCGCTTACTCTTGCATCTGTTGAGGGCTGCGTTCTCGGTTAAGACAGTTGTAGATCATGTATACGTAGTTCGAAATGTTCGAACGCCTGTTAAAGTTGGCTGGTATGCTGGAGAATCACTTATTTACTAGCAAAAAAGCTTGCAGTAGGATGAAAGCAAGAAATGGTATCACTTTGACTCGTATTAACCGAACGCTTTAGCCCACCCGAATTAAGTACAAAAATGGATTGAACATCACGACTTTGAAACGACAGACAGCCTTGTTTATTTTCACCGTGTTCGCATTAGACCCATTACAGTCGACTTAGGTTACCACGGTTGGGATGACTTTACTGCAAAAATCTACGCCCACATTTCACTTTTGCTTTTACCTTCATTTCTTTTCCTCTCACACACCCGAACACACTTTGAATGAATCATGCGAATTCGCTGAGTACTTGCGATGGAATACAAACTTGACAGGTGGACTGGTCAGGAGGTGGATTTGTCCTACTATTTTCCCATCCAAGGAAATGCCAAAGTGTGCTCTGGAAGGGAAATAGCCTTCATGGCTTATGACTTTCAGTAGCTTAGCCCCCCCACCCCCTTAATTATGAACTAATACCAATTAACACGTTGAGCGAAAAAATCCCCACAACTAGCAAACGACCACATTTCTAAGTTTAATGAGCAATGGAACGTGGCCATCCCTTGGGAAGAGGATCCGTCGTTCAGCAACATCCATGATGGTAACCCCGTCGTCAATATGTAAAGCACATCTTTCTCCTTATTGTCTAGACATCTATGAATTTTGTTGGTGCTAAGGTATGTGAATAGGGGTGAATGTGAGGTAAACTGTAGTAAATTTTCCCTGTATACAATTTACCGACCTCATTTTCTAGTCAAATCTATCTGATTATGCTCGGAGCTAGCACAATGAGACTGCATCGAGGTCACTGGGAAAATAAATAACTGCAAGAATGTCATTAATCACATATCTCTCCGCTCTTCATGATAGGATATAGCAGGATATAATGAGTCAAGAAACAGTTCCTGGGTAGAGATTTACCCAAGTCAAAAGCTGATTCGCCTTGCAAAAGTATTTGACTCATTCTTCTGGTTTCAGTAAAAACCACAAAAGGGCCATGAAAGACTATGTGCTAAGGTACATGCTTTGGGAAAATAAAGTCGGTAATGAATGCCGAACGGAGACACCACAATGACACAGAAGGACACTTGCGAAAGTGAACCAAATTTGTAGAACCCTCCTTATTTCCACCTTTTAGGTAACCAGCTATGCATGTCAAGACTGGCAATGAACTTCATCTCCTGATCATCTTACTTCTCATTAAAATCAGTACGTCAAAAGTTTCTGTGTTTATAATGTTATCTGTTTTGTTGGCACAAAATTATCATCCAAACTGGTCACCTCTTGTGGGGCATAGGGATGCAACGGTCAGACGGCCAAGCACTCGAACAGTGGTTCAAGGCGTACCCTACGTCGCTTCACTGTCACTACAAGATGTGAAGACACCAACTGTTGAGAGTGCGTATCCGCTGTTGATTGACAGATTAATCTGCCCTCCTACTCATGCCAATTACTAAACCACAGTAAAGCGATCTACCGCTCACTGTGTTTACTTAACCACACTTCACACAAACGTTTGATTTCCTCTGGTGGCCACTTAAGCGTTAAGTTTACAATTTACAGCATTCTCCTTGTTTACGTTTTGGAGGAGTTTACCGACCACCAGCCCTTATTTTTACATTTTTCACCATAAGATATTATGGGGAAGAGTGAAATTAAGTGAATTATTAGGCGCAAAATCGAGTTACTTTACCGACAAGACTGTTACGACTTGTCTTAAGGATTCACCTAAATGTCTAGCTGTTGCCCAAGGTGTCCCGAGGGCTTAAGCTTGTAGCATGGATATCGGCAGTCCGGTACAAACGAAGTTGATGAGGGCGCGTTCACAGGGTGACGCGAAGTGGTGTCAGGTCAAGTGAACACGCGTTCTACACGCAAATTAATTAAGGTGCGTCAGGGAGAAAGCTGCCTACATGTCTACTACGAGTCATCTATGGGTCATTATTAAACACCACCTCTCCAAGTAACTTGCCTTTTTGGCTGTTCATCTGAGATTATGAAGGCGTAACTGGTGGCGCACAGATGTATGAATACGAACGCAAAGTAGAAAATTAAGTTATTTCCCTGATTTTTTACTGATTTATCCTTCTTTATGAGACAATATATCACCTTGAATAATCTGGAGTAACCAGTCTGAAACAGCTAGCTTATTGTCACCTGAATTTTGCAGTTACTTCTTTAATTTAACCACTAAAGGTGGCCGAGCACTTCTTCACAGTTTAATCACTAACGTCTGCGAGGTAATTTGTTTCAAATCGTCAAATTAAGTGTATGAACTACTAAAAGCAACTATTTAGATGCCGTTTACGAGCAAGGAATATGGGTTGACCAAGGGGGCATAAATGACGTAATGCCAGTCTTCTGCTAGAATTGTGGGACCAGACTAGATTTTGGTAACTAATTTGAAGGGAAATGAGAAGAGCCTTGTTTTACAAACATGACTCTGGGATGAGTAGTGGTCCTACTGTTCCCTGAATCTGGATGCACCTCAGTCCTGTAACGGGTTTGAAGCGTGATGACCAAGGAGAATAACCTGATTGTTTGTAGTGATTCACTAGTAAAACTGCTTCTATTACCATTGCTTTTGCTGTGCGTGTGCGTGGAAGCAGGCGAGCGGGTGACTGGGTGGGTGTGCCAACCTGCCGGATGGGAAGGGAAGACACTATGGCATCACTTTTCCTTGCCCGGGCTTGTTGATTAAACTCATGAGTCTCCACGCTATTGATGCTGCTTAATCAACCCTACAAGGATGCCAAGCTGACCAATTACCTCAGACGTCAGAGGCTGTCTAACTAACGTGCCCTTTACGACAGTTGTTATGACGATAATTGTACAGCAGGCTGCTCACCATTCACAAACACACAAATATGCGTATTGAGGACCAAGAAAACAGAATCTAAGTTGCCTCGCATAACCTACCGTTAGGGATTAGCAATTCCTTAATTGTCAGCGCTTATCTTCATGAAACAGTTTGAAGCGCATGTTCAATTTTATAGTCAAATTTAAATTGAGTGACTTGGTCAACCATAGTAACAACCAACCGCAGAACCTGGATACACAGCACCCCAGACACGTCAAATTTATTTTCTTGCATGCAGCCATTTGACTGGTAAACAAGTAAATAATTGTATTGTTATTCATTTCCATTGTTCTCCCCTCTCCTCTGTCTACGACTTGGTCTCTCTCTGACGTGGTTGTTTCACTTCCATAAATCGGCCCAATGAGTCACGATGAGTTTTGCTTGGGCACTGGTGTGGCCTCCTGAGTGCTGACATGCACGCACGTACACTCTTGACTTGGCACAACTCCTCTCTACTTCCTATTTGGAAAATGGGAATTTGTAGTGAAAAACACGGTTTCTTAATTAGGTACGTGGAATCACGCTTTTAGAAGCATTAACTAGTTGACGATTCATTCAAATGCGTTTAAAGGAAGAATCATAGGCCACTTTATCCTCGAGTCCATTTACTATAAAGAGGCTTTTCTCATACAGAATTCTAGATTGCCTGATGGTCCAAATGTGAAATAATTCCAATTGTCAAAAATATAAAAATACCCATTATAGCCCTTGGAACGCATGACTTATTCGTGTTTGTTGAGAGGGTTTGCTTACCCCTCTCTAAGATGTGTGTTAGTTTTGAAGTCTGCCGAAAAATAAGATATTGAGAGGCACAATGGGTTCTGATTCCATTACAGCTTCAGCCAACGTTCCGGTAGTGGGCAGTCACAACCGGCAAGTCAGTCTCCACGTGGGTGACCATCTCCTTCTTGAATGTCCTATCTGGGGGTCAAACGAGGGACCAGTCCATTCAGGAGGGGAAAGCCAACCCACATCCTTCCTTGATGGAGGTCTTATGAATAATATTATCTACCAGTGGAATATTCAGGGGCTTCCGGAATATGCAGTGGCTATGGACACGCGTTTCCGCTTCCTTGAGGGTGGACGGGTAGTCGAATTAACTCAGCCGGTGACCAAGTCGGACGCTGGTACTTACCAGTGCTCAGGAGTGACTGGATTCGGACAGAAGAAAGTTGATTTCGAGGTTCATGTTGCTGGTGAGTTCTGTGCATGATTAAGATATGAGGGGACTTACCAAAATGTCTTCAAGAAATTAACATTCTCAATATTAAAGACAGTTTGTGGGTATATGACGCATAGGTTAATTGTCTACCCGTCAAAAGTAACTCTTCAGTTTTAAAAGCACCATTCTGAAGGATGGAGTGTGGAATGACAGACAGAGCTAAAGTGATTTTAGAGTTGCTTTCTGACAAAAAAATTCCCATTTCATTATTCCCGACACTTGTGCAACACACCACAAGCGGCTGAAACTTTTGGGAGCAAAAAAGTTGCTCGTCGGAAACAATTCTCGTGTAATCACAGATATTGGAAGCAATCGATGGAGAAATGAAGAAAATGTGTCAGTGGGTAGAACTGACCTTTATTTTGACACAAGACTTTGGCATATCGCCGCTAACAATTTACAGCAAACTGTCAAATTACACCAATTAGGGGCTTGATGATTTGGCATTTGCTCGCGCATTTCCCTCACGCAGTTTATAGCATCTCTGGCTATTTGACGAGCAGACTGTATTGGCCATCAATTTCTTTGTCTTAAAAAACATTCCGTCGTGAATTTCAGGGCAGTAAGGGTAAATGTTATAAACTTAACAAACTGTTGCGTGTTTACAGCACTTTCGACAGAGAAGAAACTTAAAACAACTTTTTGATCATTTTTCGCCTCCACAGGCACATGAAAGTGTTCATTCTACGGAACGAGGAGAGAAAATAACACATTGACGAAGGAGGGATTGAAAGGTTTGGCGTTTTAGGGCGCGATTGTCAGTAGAAAAAGTATTTTTGATGGCGTCATTTCAGTCTGCTGACGTGACTGATGCGAAGGGTTGGAGAAAGTATTTTAAAGTGTAAATGGCCTTTTTACTGTATAGGCGTGATTTAATCAGGGTACCTTTAATGTGTGTTCGATTTCATGATTATAACCCTCCAGGGACTCAAAAGCCACAGAGTAGGTTGCGATCAACAAATTAGCAGACCTTATGCTTTTAAAAGAGCAGAATCGACAGGTCCAAATTCCCGCATAAAGCAATCCCTCACTCATTTGCTTATCATCCTAGATACAAATGACAACCTCATCTGCGTCAAGACCTATCCCGGAGCCACTGATCGCAATCAAGGTTAGCTTTTTTCCCATGAAACGCACTTACTGAAGTCATTTCAACTACTGATCTACCTGACTGTGCGTATTTATTATTAGACAAGTAGATGTGATCAAATTAGTGGTGGCTTTCTTCTTACTTGAAGATGAATTGACAGGCGAAGGTGCGAATAAAAATTATCATGCTGGTTGGTGAGAAAAAGTCATGCCTTATTTTAGAGCAATGAGGGAGAGGGGAAGGAGGGAAGAACTTTTCACCTCCGTTGATTACGAGTTAGTAGTGACAGGAAGATGAATAGACTTAATTAGTTAATTGGCGCGCAAACTGCTGATCATGTACCACTTCGTTTCTTTTCAAAAAATTTGGGCTTGGGTCCTTGCAAACATTCTTATTCCCCTTTGCAAACTTTATGGAATTTCGATGAAGTTCCATCAATTACATTATTGTTTTATCGTCTTTTAAACTAGTTTTGTGCCTAATGAATCCCAACCTTCGGCCTGACACCGTCATGACAACGGAGGCGGAGCTGGGCTCAGCAATTGACCTGAGCTGTGAGGCGATAGGACGAGAGCCCATCAAGTACCTCTGGTTCATGGGGAACGCGGTGGCTGATTGGATATCCAGCAGTCAGGGCGTTCGCGGCCCCATTTTACACATCGAACGCGTCGGTCGCGAACATATTGGTCAGTACGTGTGCCAAGTGAAAAACCCCATCGGTACCCTTAACTACACTTACCGTCTCACTGTCAAAGGTGAGCTGGCGTTGAAATGGCAGTCTACTCCATTGTGCCCTCTGTGGGACATTATAAATAATGGGTTTGTTTTAGAGCCGCCTTCTGCGATTCCGCGGATAATCGGAGAGGTGGAAAATCAAACACTGATAGCCGGCTCTAGCGGAGTACTGACATGTCGTGTTAAATGCTCCTGCTCAGAACCGATTATTCAGGTGCGTTCTCGCTATTCAACATAGCATTTGCTGCAACCCTACCTTCTCACACGGAGTGATTTATAGGGTGTACTCAGGGTGTGACTAACATGCAAGACATGATTTGGGGCATAAATTATATCCGAGACAAAATTGCACATGGTGACAGATGTCCTTGTCACATATCCACATGTGTGTTTGTGGGTGTGTAAGGGGAAATGAATATTGCGTCCTCGCTACTTAGGGCTATCAGCACTTCTCACGCTCTGCTGGGTAAATAAATTAACCGTGAAAAATCTAACGTCTGGTGGATAAAGTATCTATTAATTGTATTCTTTCGTCAAAACTCTGAATGAAACATCTAGGAGGAAAATCCGGTGGCATAACTTAACGGTGGAGGTAATTGGTACGTTAACGTACGCTTCCTTGGTATCAATTCAGTGCAAGTTTTCATGAATAAATTGCTCTCTCTCCTAAAAACCATACATTTAAAGGAGTGTAAAACTTCCCTAATATTAGTGATGGGTCACTTTCCATTTTAGTTTGTTTAAATTATTTTCACTTCAATCACACAAATTTTATACCTGACAAGGCAACTTTTGGCAACAGTCATCGCTTAATGATGGCTTTAAGCTCGAAAAGAACCATTCAATCTCCATCTCTACCTTGGATGTAGTTCAAACTCCGCATTCTTGAGGGGTTTTTCAAGTAGTTAAACTGAGCTTCGAATACATTCGATTCCTACTACAAAATTAGGCAAACTTGGCAACATAATACGTTCATTTTATGATCATTTTTGGTGATTACATGAGCATCGGATGGGACCTGCTGTTTTTGTTCAGAATACTTGTAGTTTAGGGTTCAGTCCTACGAGTGAAACCTTATATCAACGTTTTTTACTTGAAGAAAATAGCGAGCATTTTGTAAAGTAGACACAAATGTAACCTTAATTTCCCTATTTTATTCGAAAATACTCGAACTCATAAAAACGAGAGAAGCATCTTACTTCAGTACTTCAACATGTTATCGAACCCTGTAATTAACATCTCTGTTCAGGCAGGTTCGGGGTGTAGAGAAAAGTCACTGGGTGGGCTCGGAACAGACTGAACACACTCCATCTCCGCCGAATTAGGACGGATAGATCAAACTACCCATCTCTGGCCAAATCCCAATGACTGGATAATAAATGAAATCGGAAGTTTAATCTTGACTATGTATTGTGAAAGAATAGAAGGAGACGGGTAAAGTTCGGAGTTCCTTCTGGCCTCACGCGATCAGGAAATATAGATTTTTTCTGAGCAAATGCAGAACGATATTATGGCATTTGTCATGACTATTTTTCCTGAACTATTATGCTCGTCTGTTGATGAGAATATATGTTTAATCCCCTTATCTTTTGATTATACGCGCGACAAAATATTTCAGCCACAATCTACCTGGCATCCAACAATCGTAATCCATCCTTGCGTTGGTTGATATTCTCTCGTCTCCCGCTTATTTATAAATCATGGACCTGTGGACGCGACGGAGAAAGTTATCTTCCAGTACATTACTCTTTAAAACCTTTCTCATAATGGAACCTAGAGTGTCCTGAAGAAGTAAAAAGTTTACATGGAGTTGATTTTATCGCGAATTTTTCACTAGCCTATAGACGAAATTCTTCCAATTTAATTTTACTTCCGATTACTCCAAGCTTAACTAAGACCACCTCGTTGGCTAAAAGTACCATGCCGTAAAAGAATTTGAAACTAATGTTACCTGTCTCGTTTTTAAATGTAATATCCAATAACATTTGTGCTAGGTACCTCTGAATTAGGTACTACTGCTTGATCGCAACTAAGGCGACAATTACAACGCTCCATATGACCCAGGCATAAATGGAGAAAATGGCCATTATATAACAATTCCTTATTTTAAAATTTCACTTAATGCCACCATATCAACAGCAACCTAACCTTGCATATGCCTTTCTAACACGTGACGGTAGTTTTATTTGAATCATCTCATTTAAATTAAATAAAGGGATTATACAAAAAAGATAAGCCTTGAAACCGGTTTATTTTTAATATCATCATCACAGAGTAACAGTTTACAAATCATTATCCGTATTTCTGATGTTTTCTTCCATCATTCAAGTGGAAAACTGCTGCAGTGGTGTTAATTCATTTTGGGAAAAGCGAAGATTTCATGCAAAATTTTAAGGCAGCAAATAGTGCGCAGCTGTAAGGGAGAAAGAGTGATATCTGCGTTTATGAAAACTTAAACTCCATTTTCAAATGGTTATCCTATGATTTTTTGTGATCTTTGCCGTGTACAGTGTTTCTCCAAATGACATTTCGGGTTTGTTGTAGTGGTTAAAGCACGTCGATCCAGAGGACATTGATGCGTACAAAGCTGAGGGGAGGTCACTGGTTCCACTACCATCTCCACGACCGGCGGAGGCGGAGGAATTCTACTTGGCGCTGGAGAAGTGGGAGGACGCCCCGGCCTACATGGAGAGGACGGTGGTGCAGCTTCACCGCACCACATCGACCACGGCTACTGCTGCTGCCGCTGGCGAGATTACGGTACCGGAGCGTGAGTTCTTGAGCTCCCGTCACGAGGGCGAGGCGGAGGAGAGGCTCTTCGTCTCGCGCCTCCGCCTCCGAGGGCCTGTCAGCGTTCCGCTCCATGCCGGCAAGTATGTAGTCATGACCATGAGCAGATCTAACCTCAAGGCCATCGACTATGCCGTTGCATATGTACACATTGTGCCAAGTAAGTCATTGGACTATTTCGTACTCTGCGCACCTTGTCGAAGCCCACTTTTGTTCCCAAGAAAAACATTTGATTTCGGTATTAATTTGAACTTTTTATGTTCCACTTTATGTCTTTATCACACAGAATGAATGCGCTGCATAAACCTTCGTATATGGTTCGGCAGAAGAGCTTATCTCTTCACCCATTGTAGAATCCTTCAATGTTACTGTGCACAACATCATGGTCTACTGCGTGGTTCCAATAGCCCTGATTCTCCTGATCGCTTTTGTCTCTCTCTACTGCTTCCTAAGCCGTCGCAATAAGGACCTTGAGCACCCTGCCACTCGACGTGGCAATGTTATTTTCCCCCCCGTGGTACGAGGTCACTCATTGTCTGGAGTGAAGAAGGAGTACCGGCCCATTGTACGACAGACACCCCAGTCCTCAGTGTTCTCCAACGGCAACACCGTCTCAAACGGGAGCAAAACCTCCTCACGTCTACCGTCCTACGTGGCTCACTCCTCGCCCTCCCAGTGGAACGCCGCTACCGCCACTGCCTCTATCACCAGTCCCTCTCCCCACTCAAACTCCTTTCATAACTTCCAGTCCCATGTATCTCAACCTCCGACGCAGCTATCTCCCTCGCCGTCCACCTTTTACAACTACTCAGGTCTTCAGTCTCTGAACAATCAGCCCACTTACTGGCATCCACCAGCTCCTTCAGTTGCTACGGAGACATCTTTCGATCAGTACTCAGCGATCATGGGCAACCCACCCTCCACCTCGGGGGGCTTTAGTGTGAGCCACTCTGCCTCATCCTCACAACGGCCTCAACTTTCTTTCCCGAATGTTTGAATATTCCGCGATCAATGACTTCAACTTTCCTATCCAGACTTCACAGGGTTTCGATTTAAGTAATCGGTAGACTTCACAAATTTTATTTGTACAGTTACCGTCAAGTAATATCATTTTAAATAATATATTGCAATATATTCGATCCCATCCTAGTTAGCCTTCTGCTAGTAAAAGCTTTCCTAGTAATCACATTCGAGTTTTCGGTATTTGTCGTGGGTGTGGACGAAGCTGATATCTATGTCCGAAAATGTGTGCTGCAAGATCCCTGCCATGGTTACAAGTTTCAAACAAAACCTCTTATATCCTAAATCCATCCAGTGCATGGTATTTTTAAATCCTGTGTGCATAAGTTAACTCCAGAGCTTGATTTGGTTGGACTGGAACTGCTAATCATGCTATGTTTTTCAAAGTGTGATAAATAGCTCCTTACTAAATGGCTGGTAGACAAGACTAGCGCTGATTGGAAGACAAGCTTGTGTTTCCATCACAGCAAACTGTTAAAGGTATTATCGTATGATGGTTCCTCCTACGTACATAAGAAGGTAGGCGAATCTCCACGCCTTGGCCATATTTCTGGGATTCACTCGAAATACATTCCTATATAGGGAGCTTAAAATTCTTCGACATTGGGAAAAGCTTACAACTAACGGAAACGGAATTTAATGGTCATCTCATCTGCTTTAAACAGGGCAAAATCGGGATTAGGAGCATATTATAAGGTGTCATATTTAATGGTCAGTTTAAGCTGTCCCATGCAATAGTGTGGGAAACTTTGCCTGTGTTTTCGGACATGCATAAATCCCTACTTAATGAGCCTAGGCAGCGTCTGGCAAGACTGTCAATCCTGAACTTTGCTCAGCATTTATCCCTTAATCGAGAAATTCAAGTAATTGCCACTACCTTGACAAAACTGGGTGATATGGTCCATTCATTTGGTATAAATGTTTCGGTGGAAATCATGCTCACGCTCTTATCTCTTACCTGTAATTGCTATCAATAGATACGGGCCATCACAACTACCATAAAGAATGGAGAGAGAAAGAGTTATACTGTCTGCAGAACAGGGTAGATCCATAGATGGGATCATCTTCTACACTGGTGAGTATACGTGGTGTTTCGACCTCCAACTGCCTCATCAACCAGGGATACTGTGCTCACTCACTCCGGAGGACTGCTCATAATGACTTAAAAACTGACACTGTCCATCAAGGTGCCCTCTCAAGTCCCCACAGAGAATCGCAACCTTTGTGCAGATGATTCCTGATGGTGGCTCCCTCTTTTAGATACGTGTGCGCGACTTTCTACTTAAGCACCTCGTGTCCATCACTGAGGCTGGAACCGAATAGGAAAGTCGTAGCGCCAACACCTGTGTTTCAATAGTGTGTATCAGAAACTCTACATTCTTACTGAAAACTTTAATTTTTCGTAGGGCTTCTTTTAGTAAAACTTAAACGGGTGCACATTTGTTCATCCTAAGCAATGAGTTTTGGGAACTCTAAATCTCATGATGTTTACAGTTTTAACAAGACCGAACACCTGCATTTATGTTGGAGGTACTGATGATGGAAAGTGTCATCTGTCCTAATGCGCTACTTTGATGAACACAAGTGCTTCTTACTTGAATACTAGAAGATGCAAAAACTCAATAGTTTACCAAAAACACTGGGATGGATTAGAGCTTTTCTGCAACTGTTGGACAATGTCAATGGAACGATTCTCAAGGGGTGCACTTCATTGATGGAAGAAGAGAATAACAAGTTGAGGCCCTCTTAAAAGGAACATGCACAAACATGGATACATAGTCATCTGAAGTAGTTATTCGTTTGTTGAAACTATTATAGTTATTTTGAGAAAGAAAGCCGTTTGAATAGAATGAAGCCACGCACTTGATTGGCAATGGATTGATTTAAGGTACTTCTTGCGGACCTCCAATTAAAGCTACTCAAATATTTCTAGAAAACTGCAATATAAAGGCAACTTTTAAATAGAGCCTTGAAAATTCTCATAGGAAGGAGGGTGGGGGAGTATAGAGGAGGGCAGACACATTGGGTGGGAGGGGGGGGGGGGGCGTATTTTAGCGCGGGGTTTCGCCTGCATGTTTGTGTGTCCCAACGGCAAATCCCGTGATTGACAGCATGACTCACTCGCATACTCTCACTCCCTCATTCACTCACTGCGGATAACCGGAAACGGAATTTCTGATGCCACTACATTAAATGATAAAGACTCCAAATGGCACCCGGAAGCCGTCCCAACTGCATCATAGTTTTGAATTGCAAAAAAATGCAGCGATTGAGACGCAAAAAGTCAGCTCTTTAGTGATGAATTTTAAAAACGGATCTGAAACAACTTCCCGCTTTTGTTTCACCAGGACATATATTAGAATCTGCCTTAAACAAGGAAAGGGCACTTTTCTAGCGGGAGAGGCAGCTTGCACACTAAGCATTAGCGAAGACGCATGATGTGCAGTGCTGGGGAGTTGACAGGTGTTTATAGAGTGATCTGGGGTCACGATGCAAAAAGCACGATTTTTGTGTGGGTTGCGACTTTGACGCAGGAGTGTATCACCTCAACTTCCATTGATTGGTTAACCGAGAAGATTTCGGTCATAGGGGAGGGACTGAAGCGATGGGAAATGGACGCTTTAAACAACCCTTAGGCCGGGATGCCTGTTCCCTACATTTGCCGGCAAAAAATGATAGTCATACCCTAGTGCTGTTTTTCTCTGTCTGTACTTCGTGTAGGGAGGACTGTACACATAGGATACATCTATTACCTGAAAAGGCAGAGCAAATGAAAAAATGCAGTAAGAGGCTGAAATTTCCGTCATTTAGACAAGAACTGAGAAGGCGTCCCACATGCTTTCACTCGTTTTTTTTGTGTGGTGCGTCTGCCAGAGTTGCATCACCAAAGCAGACCCTTTTCGAGTACTTAGTTAAGGGAACTTTGAAGTGTTTTGTTGTAATTTCGAAAGCCATTAGTGTATCTAGGTGTCATTAACACCCAATTACTGGGCTCACATTTTACGCTAATTCACGAAATGTTGCTGCTCTTCACCAACCGGAGCACTGATTGTTTTCCTATTCAGTGAGGTGGAGGAATTGGAGGCACCCTAACTTCTATTACTTATGCACTCAAAATTACACGATTTACGCTTTTTTTCAAGCGTCAAATTCTGCTTTAAGCGTTCCCAGAGCTTTTGCATGCTTCGCTCTTCCTCAATCCATCACTCCGAGAGGTGATGAGTGGATGGCTGGCCATAAGTGTCGGTGTGGTGTGAACTGTGATTGAGACCTTCACTTTGTGCGCATTGGTGTCTGGTTTCGAGGTGACAACAAAAGGGTGTATGACGAGGTGTCATTTGGATACCCCTCTAGTAGGGAAATAAGTAACTGATGGTCACCAAATTTGCCATTACCTGCTTCCTTCCTTAAGGCAGCAAATATACGCATGCGGATGCACCTATAGGACACAAAACGCTTTCGTTATAAAAGGAACTGCACATTTGATCATCGATGGAAGCCAAGTTGAAAATAAGTTCAGTAAAACGCGGTGAAAATGAATAATACAAAAGTTGTAAAGTTAAAGGTACGATTAAGACCAAATTTACGACCACTCACTGAACCAATGTGGTAATGTAACACTTCGAATGTTTGCCTAGCTTTCGGTTTTGGTAATGGGCCCCTGAGGGGCTCCGTAATTGCTGGTTAAATCTTTGCGCACTGCAGCTTGTAAGCCGAATTACTTGAACTACGGGGACTTGAACTAAACTGCTCATTTAGCATCTTCTTAATGACTTAAGCAAAGAACTGGGCTGATGAGGTAGATTTTACTACTTCATTTCAAGCACTCGGAGGATTGAGAATTATAGCCATGTTTTCATACCCGATTTCAATTTTTGTGCTACGCCAGAGTAGAATGAAAATAGACCCACCTTAAGAATCACAATGTAATTACTGATTTTATACCAATTTTATTAACTAAATCATTCAGTATTTGCGAAGAAGATCATATGGAGGTTGTATTGTATATTTTTGAGGTTTTCTTTTGCCAATACATGTTGATATCACAGGTAGCCCTTTAGTATCGAACCTTTTTGTCTCTTCACGCAATCATGGACAGCAAAATTATGCTAAAACGAGAACAATTACGAAGACTTGACGTCTCAACCTCTACTTTTACCTGTCAGCACCCTAACTTGCAAAAGAAAAGGGCCTTTGTGAGGAGCCCATGGTCAGGCCCTGGTTCCAGATACGCGTTCCTCGCTTTCTCACCACAGGAGGAGGGGGCTTCAGTGCAAAACTTACTAGCTCTGACCAGGCCAGTTACGAAGCTGCGGTTTTGAGCAAAACATCTCTCATTTTAAGAAGAATTAGGATAAGTTCCTATGTTTTTACTTGAATTCGATCATACACACCGGGTGTTAGCAGATTTTCATTACCATTTATCGGATAACGCCTGAAAGGAGTTGGGTGTGTAGGGATAGTAATATTATGTGTACAAATAGTGATTCGGTTAAAAATGTGTTCTAATAACCAAAATGAAAAGTTGGAAAACGACATGAACACCACTAAATATATCCCTTTACTGTGACATTGACTTAAGGCTCCCACAACACCAAGAATCCTCCTGGGGATAAATAGCACACTGATTGATATTTACAAGGCATGCCTCGGTTTGCGATGGAGCCCTCCTGAAGCGGCGACTGTCGTGCATTTGTAGTGTGTTTGTGCAAGCGTGTGGTGTGGACTCGTGCTTGGGCATTAATTTGCCAGTAACAATGCAAATGCGCAAACAGAGGAGCCTAGAGGCAAAGTGAGCACTCGCTTACGACGCTTGTCAATCAAGAAGACAGTAGAGAAAGGCGAAATGAAGACCAACCCTGGTCCCAATGCACTCTTTCGCTCCAACGACCCCGCCCACATGCAGCTTGAATATGGACAGTTGGGGACAAAATGCACTGTCTGCTTGGGCATTAAGCTCAATTGGTCTGCTGGCTCTATCAGACTGCGCCGAAGAGAAGAAGCCGTACCATCATTCATCTACCGAAAAATGAGCATTAGCGCAGTGAAATCGGTCTATTGGCTCACCCTTCTATCCATGCCATGGATGCTATTGAGATGGTGTAACATTCAGACTCGGTTGGAGCATCAATCCGGATGGGTTTGAGCAAGCTCACTGTAGATAAATCGGCAGATTGACTATATTGGGACATCTCTTATCAACTCACAAGATCATGCATGGCGTTTTGACTTATCGCATCTTCTGCTGAATTCCATTTCTGTTATCAATTCCTTAAAGCAGATAAACTCGAATAAACTCACTGGATATGATTAGCCGAGGGCTAGGCAGTGCAGTGCGTGTATGGTGCCAGCTATGGCATCAAGCGTGAAAGTTACCATTTGGAACATCGAACATATTCGATTTGGAGAAACCGTTGAGAATCATTAACCAAATTTGTTTGGCAAATTTATTTCACAGCTTCCCTTAAAGAAACCGGTACAAAATGGAGATGCTGAAATTTTCTGCAAAGAGCAGTGTTTTATAAATATACTTTGAAGGAAATCATGTAAAGGCATACTCTAGGTTTCCAGTACAGGAAATTAATAATGGTTAGGAGCTTTTTGGAAATTCAAGAGGGCGATGAAGATGAAACAAAATACCAGAGGATAGTCCATACCACAAGACACTTTTCTATTTGTCCTTACGATGCAGTTCTGTAGTGCCTCTAGACTACCCTGTTGCCGAAAGACAGCTCTCGGGCTGCCTAGCGGAGGTACAATGGCAGAGCCTTTAAGTGGTCCCTTACCAAAACCGAGAGTTAAGCGAGCAATTACGATATTACAGTTGCCCCAACCACCTGAAGTTGCCAACTATTCAATCACGGTTAGAATGATTTTGTTTAGTGATCGTGTTAAACTAATTTTATTGGCTCAATCTTGAAAAAATTGCTGCTGATTTCTGAGGTTATATTTGGCAAGACTGGAGTGGTCTTGCAGTAATACATCCTGTTGGTTCGAGTGTTGTGGATAAACGCCCTGAAATCCCCTTTATATCCTCCAAGACACCACGGCTAATTTATGCATTTTAGTCGGAACCCCTGTACTGGTTCTCCGAGTGGCGCTAGAGTTATGACATTTCCTGGAATTAAATGATTCTCATTGAGTTATAATGGTCGTCTTTAACCTTCATTCTGACAATCTATGCTCAGGTACTTTGTTCATTTATGCCATTTTTGCCCTTTCGTGTATCCTACTTCTCTTGTAATTCAGAGAAATGTGACGACGACGCCATAGAGTGATATTGCGGCTTGAATATAATGATGCCAATAAATAATCAAACACAATTCCTAATTTTTCGTATTCGCCTGCTAGGATATCCTTTGTCACTCCACCCAAAGTTAACACTTCGTTTAACCGTGAAATGAAATGTTGATAGAAATCCAATGGAATACGTGTAACCGAAGCAGACCGCACATTGGGTCTGCTCGTCAGTTCTTGTTGTGTGTACCTTTGACTTCGCCTCCTACCCAATTCCACATAACCACGTGGGACCAAACTATTTTTCAGGTCAAGGCCGTGCTTATGACTCTGTACATCTTTCTCCAAAAACCAAATTCATGTTCGGTTTCTTATTGTTAGGCTCATGTACAAGAGTAGAGGAATTGGTCTTTGAGAGAGTAACAAGCCTGAAAACTGCATTACTTTGCCAACAGATAGAGCCCGTAATAATATATTTAGCTTCAAAATACGGTTTAAAATACGTTGGTTGTTTAGTTAACTCTCGGCTTTGGTAACGAGTCAATTGGGAGTACCGCCATTGTACCCTTGTCGAGGGGTGCGACCTTTAGGCCATGCCAGTAACATACAAGCCCTTCTCAACGTAGAAATCACATATTCTGCCCGAGTATTATGTCTTCTTTTGCCTTAACCGACGTCTCAAGGTGCTGCACCGGCGGCAGTGGAAAGCTAATTTAGGCCTAAGGGATATGTCCTCATTTCTACTGTTGGTGATAAATCTTAGTGGGATAGAAGTAGTGTATGTACAGCGGATGAAAGAGTCTGCTAGTGACATCTCGAACAACACTGGACATGAACCATCTGGAAAACTTCGTTATTGTGCTGGCTAGAATACAGATGGGTATGGGTGGGTAAAACTAAAATCAAAACAGGTTGGCAAAGAGGAATAAACGCTAAACTCTATCCTATCGTAGTTATGTTAAACAGCATCCTTTATTAAATGACTTCTCCTATGCTAGTGTTCTTACAACTAGCAATGGACATACGTGATAGCCCGCAAATTCCTTCTTCCCAAATACAATTCTTAAACAGGACAAACTCCGGATGCGGTAGAATTGCCAAAAAGAGATCAGTGACATTACGGTTAAGTACTTAACTCGGTTGCATGGAAATTCAAGGACTAAGGCCATTGGTTGGTGGATACTTTTCCTTATAGCACCCCGACTACGTTGTGGTGGCTGACGCGGGAGGTTGACCAAGGAGAGCGTCGAAGGCGACACTCAAAGGAGGGGACGGGCAGAGTACTAAGTTCGTTGATTGTTTACCTTGTGGTTTTGGTACCAGGCCACATAGGGGCTTTGGCATTGTGCCCTTACGGGGAGGCCTGGCCTCTGAGCCATGTCAGTAGCCCCAAGCCATACTGTACTTCGGCAATACCTATTCTACCTGAACATTATGTCTTTCTTCTTCTTCTTCTTCTTCTTCTTCTTCTTCTTCTTCTTCTTCAGGGATGTCTTGGGTCGCTACAAGGACTTTCACTTATCTGAATCAATGTTATTCAAAAGCGGATCTGTTTTTTTCCAATACTTGTAAGATTTGCAATTTTTGAGCTGCAAATGCTAATATGCCATTAAAACGTGCATCTTTTGTTTTATTGAGAAAATACTGACCTCATCACATAATGAATGATAGGAAGCTACATACGCATGCAGCTATCTCAATATGATGAATAATTTATACAAATGTATTTTTTCCATTGTAGACCAATGTCTTTGTTATTCCATACTTAACGTTAATTCCTATAGATACACCCTCGGTGAAGGGTATTTAGGCAATTTACGGCCGCCATTTGTTGCCATTATGATTTTCTGATACTCTTGCGTTAGAGTTGCCAATAAATGGATGATTCAGGACTGAGGAAGGAAATACAGTTTGTTTGTGTTTGGAGCATGCTTATGGAATCGCCTAACCCGAGGTCTGAGTTCGCACGTTAGGTAAATGTCAATCATTATCCGTCTGGCTATTTATCTACCACAGGTCTTATTTACTCCTATGGGTGAAATTTTCACATAATAAGGTTCACTATGTCCATTGTTTACAGGACGAGTCGCATTAGCAGTGAAATACCACCAAACAGTTCTGGTTATTCCTTCCTCTACGCAGTACAGATAACGTAGAAATACCTTTGAGGTATTATAAAGGAAAACTTGTGATAATATTTAAAAAGATATTCAACATTCTACTTCCATTCACACAGTGAAGTCATGATCGAAAAGGAAAAATGAGTTATGGATTAAATATTTATGGGCGGAGATAGTTATCGTAGTACGGTACTTGTTTGTTCAACTCCCGGTTTTGGTAACGGGCCAATTAGGAGCTCTGCCATTGTACCTTTGCCGGGTGGGCTGGCCTCTCGGCCGTGCTAGCAGCCCCAACCCCTACTGTTCGCAGAATACATATATTCTGCCCGAGTATTGTACCCTCTCTCGTCTTTAGGGAAGTCTAGGGGCGCTAAATTACCACCAATAAATATTCGTTAACATTGGTAATTGAGAGATACGTTTTATAAACAATTAAACTGTCGAACGCTTTGCTCAAGGCTGTACGATTTAAATGAGCTAAGCTCTCAAGGTAAATAAACTAATGAACAAGTTAGAGAGCAAAGGAATCAAATAATCACTGGCCTAATTCGAAAAAGCAGCACGACCTACACCAGTTGTTGATCCACATACGATCATAGAAGCAAGAATATTGCATATTTTATGCATCTGATAGTTTGTAAATTCGAAAACTTGGCTCTTCATTTTCTGAACTGATGGTTACTTTTCCTCTTGGTGTCACGGGATTCTGCACTCTAACAACTAACGATGCTTTAGGTCCACAAGAAAGGCGGTTTTCAACACTTACGTTTAAATGGTTTCAACAGTTACTTTGGTCAAAAGGATTATGAAAATACTATTGCAGTAGCACTCAACTTACAGTACACATAAGAACAATGACCCTGCTAATACAAGTTTCTTTTGTCTTGTACAGCCTAAGTTTCGGAAAGATACTTCATTACGGTTAGAATGCGCAGCTATAACGCATCACACGATAGTCTGTATGATAAATATTAACAGGCGACAATTCCAAACTTGTAAAACAATAAAATCAAAAATTCGCACATTTAAAATTACGAGACTAAGACTTTTAAGCTGTGTTTAATTTGCGAAAACTGAATCGAAAAATAGGATTTGAATGAGTTGCTTCACAAAAGTACACGGAATGCCTCAGCTTCCGACCTAATCTGTGGTTGGGTGTAATTTCTACGTATTATATCTGTCGCCCTCACCTGGATTCATCCACCGCTTATGATGCCGTTTCAAAGGCGGATAGCGTCAAAAGCAACTTCCTCAAGTGGTTTTGTAGCCGAATCAAAAGGCCTCGTTGTTTTGACTGGAAACTCTCACCCTGACCTCGTCAAGCGCATTTGCAAACAACTGACTATTCAACCATGTAAATCTGTTACATCAAAGCATTCTAATAGAGAGACAAAGGTTGAGATTCAAGAAACTGTTAGAGGTTAGTCATAATCTTTACATCAAAGAGGAATGTAAAGGCCGTGATGTGTACCTCATTCAAACGGGTACATTGCACGTGAACGATGATATAATGGAACTTTTAATTTTGGCCTTCGCATGCAAAGCTGCCTGCGCTAGGCGAGTTATTCTTGTGGTTCCATACCTTCCTTATTGTAAGCAAAATAAAATGCGCAAGCGTGGCTCCATTACTTGCAAACTTATTGCTCAATTGATCTGCTCAACTGGTATTGACCATGTCATCACAATTGACCTACATTCGAAGGAAATCCAAGTGTGTTTATATCCATAATGATTTCGCTTTGCCTATATTGGTTTTTAATAATCAAATTAAGTCTCACATGTTGTAGGGTTTTTTTGATGTCTCGGTGGATAATTTGCGTGCTTCACCATTTTTGATCCGCTATATCATGGAGACGATCTCGGATCATCGAAACTGCGTGATTGTTGCAAAAGACCCAAACAGTGTTGCTAGAGCTACGAGCTATGCTGAACGTCTTCGTGTCTCTTTGGCTGTCATCCATGGTGTTGATCGTGAGGACACCGAGCGAACTGATGGCCGAACTTCGCCTCCGCCAATGGAAGGCGAGATTAAGTTAGTTGAAACTAATTTTCCATTTTTAAAACTTGGAAAATATGAACCTCCTTGGGAGCTTTAGTGTTTTAGACCCACTTTTTCCAAATGAATTCGTAGTGCTTAGATTGTCTAATTTGGCGCTTCGAGTTGTCCTTTTCTTACATTTGTAATGACCGTTGTTTTGGTGCTACATTGTCCTGTCATACCAAGTTAAATAGCGAACTTGACGATATTCATAGTAGAATTGAGAACCTTTATCGGTAACTCCCATTACGTAGTGCTAGGAATTGTTGCTGATGTTTTGGTGTGCTCTGACAACTATGTATTTGAGCAATGCTGTACAAGCATGCATTGCAGTTGCACATCGTTTTGATTTTTTTATCAAGAGATTGGGATGCGAATGGGATGGTTAGCGATTTTATGTCCCAAGATGGCGAAATTTTGCGCAGACCGAAATTGGAGGCTTGGGGGTGAGTTATGATTTTTGAGAATCACTATTACCTCTTTATCACTATTGATATTTCCTATATCACCTTTTGTACACTTTCACGAGACACCCAAAGCGATCATTTTTTGCCGTCTTTTACGGATTATTTGTACGTTCAATTTTTAATGGGTCAGCTTGCTATCCTGCCATTTCCACGGTATCAACTTTGCCACCTTAGAATTTTTTAGTGATGATCATTCCGGTCTTAAGCTGATAATCCCAGCTGGTTTTGTTTCACATTTTGATGAATTCAAATAAGTAAAGACCACTTTTTGAAACCCTTAAATCTTGATTGCATTAAGTGAACGGTAGGGTTTGTGCACTTTTTCATGTAGTCCGCTGCACTTGTAGGGACTTGTAATCTGCAGCTGCTTACATGCTTTATGAAACGTGGATATGCATAAACCTCTCATCGGTGCTCCTTGTTGTGCTCCCCACTACCGTCATTGTTACTGTTGAACCTCCATAAAATATTGGTTGAATCTGCTGTAATTCGAGCTTGTTTGTTCTATGAATCTGGATAAGGTTCCAAGGCTGCAGAAACTTCTTGTAAAATGTGAGTAGCGTTTGCAGCAGAGAGAACCGTTCAGGAAGATCGTCCCTTTGAACTGAGTAATTACGTCACGCTAGTGACAAAAATAGCCGTGGATGTTCAGCATAAGAAAGAAATAGTTCACATCAAATTAACTGAGAAAGTTGTGGTGGAAGCTAAGCACGCTTTTGTTAGCAAATACAATAAGCTCCGAAGACTTAATTTCTTCTTCCCTTTTTCACGTGACAAAACCAACCCATTCATTTAAGATTTTACTGATTGGCTTATGATGGGAAATAGCTTTTGTATTCTGTTTGTTAACCACTATAATATTTACGTGATTATGGAACATATGCGAAAAGCTTTATGGAACCGCCTATGACTAGTTAATCGGCTGGAAGAAAGTCCTTTTTTACAAGACAATGCAAGACCTCAGACCTTTTAATGTGATACCTTCCAAGGAGAATATTTGCACCCTTGGAAATACCGCCACATCTTCCTTTTTTCCCTTATTTATCCAAGTGGCAATTATCTCCTTTTATTGACATAAGACAGTCCCATACCAAAATATACGGTTGGAAAGTAGAGGTGGGATAAGAACAGTGGTCACTGGTGGTTGGGTTTTGCTGTTAGGGCCAAAATGTTCTATAAAACTGGTACCAGTAGCAAGGTAGTGTCTCGGTGGGAAAGGGTTGTGCTTTGTAACGGGGATTATTTTAATGAATAAGGTGTCTTGAGAGATTACCTGCGGTTATCGAATTCTATGCATAATTTTTCTAGAAGTTGCGAGAACCGATTTGCTTATAATAGTTTCTTCTCATAATTTAAGTGCGCCAAATATTGGTTGGAATTGTGATCAACATTGTACTATTTGTAAACGATATTTTTAGTAATTCGAAGTTGAGACTGTTATTTAAAAAAGTATCCAATTGCATATTTGTTTGAGTCGCTCGAGTGGCGATTAAGTTTACCGTTATTATAAGCCAATGTGGTTGATTGGGGTTTTTAGTTCGCATGGGATAAATAAGGCATTCAATTGGATAATATTAAGTGTTGAACAGTAAGTTCAGTTCCCTGCGCTCTAGCTTGGTTATAAAAGCTCAAAATTAGAGATAATCTCCTCCCACTTGCGAAAACTTTTCCTATTCATGAAAGATGTTTTCGGTGGTGAGTTTGTGCGCTGAATGAACTTCAGACATTCCCTTACACATTCTTTCCATTGCTAGTGCCAACGGAGATGATCAGGAAAACATACCCAAATTGACCGTTTCGGTCCCCACACACAGAAAACGCACTTCTGAATCTATCAATTCGAGGTAAATCATTCCTCAACCTTTCTATGAATCCTCTTAGGTCGATGCACAAATTTAGTCGCGGCATTTGATTAGTCTACAGGGTCTTTACCGACACAGCTTTGTGTTGTAAACACAAAATTTGCACCCGATACAGAAGAAAGTACTCGCAAATATTTACATTCACGGTACATGCAGACATGTCCTTTTCATGCTCATCTATCACTGCATTTAACATCCGTTTTTCGTAATACGAAAACAGATGGCTATTTCTCTGAGTTAATGCGACGGAACCTTGAGGCGTAAACGTCCTTTCATGTGGCTCACACATCAGTTGTGTGATCTTCATGATAGCAGGCGTTTATGATATACTTGCACCTCAGACAGGTATTTTTACGTATTCACCAGTAGCGTTTTCGCCCCCTTGGTTTAGACCATAATATTCATTTTAGTGCTTGAGAAATGCTTTGGTCATTATTCCACCCACTTGTAGACTTTCTCGATCAGCTTTTGTGTTTTTTAAAACGCCTGACGTTCTCCTCTTTAGCAGAGTGGATTTACGTTTCTTCCCCTCTATGTGTCTGATACGGGTTAGGCCAGCGACGAGGATTTTCACTTTTGCATTTCCTTTCTCCCCCTGCTACAGCGGTCTGGAGCCGGAACCCCTGACCTCACCGTTCGTGCACAACGTGTTGGACTTCCTTCCGGCACTGCAGGAGAAGGAGAAACCACCGCTCAATCTGGTGGGTAACGTGAATGGTAAAATTGCCATCATTGTGGACGATATTATTGATGATGTGGACGACTATGTCACAGCTGCGGAACTTCTCCACTCCAGGGGCGCCTACAAGGTTAGTTTCCACTTCCACTCTTCACGTAATATTGTGCACCAATCTCTACATTCCTCCCAGAAGTAGGGATTTCCTGCGAAATGCTCCTTGTAAAGAAGGTTGTCCGTTGGAGACACACTTTTCGTGTGCCGGAAAAAAACAACAAACATGCTTTTAACTTGTGATTAGGACGGGAGGAAATGTTTTCATTTTGCTACATAAGCTAGGAAAGGTGTCATGATATGCGTCATCATAGAGAAGTAGTGGCTTGTTCGCCCCTAAATATTGCTGAACTTTTAGCAGGACTTCGAACTTTTCTGTGTCACTCTACTGGCAGCCAATTTTATGCTGGCTTAGGCATTGCATGAAATTTCATTGAAACAATGAGTCAATGTAATTTCTCGTCTTATATTGCTAAGACGCATTGTTCTGTTGAAAAAATGGCATGTTTTACATCAGTACCACGAGTGTTTTAATCACCTCTTGAGCTAGGATTAATTTAGTGAGAGACGCTTTAAACCTTTGGTCTACGTCTGAATTTTTGCCCTGGAACTATTCCGAAAATGTGCACTGCATTTCATAAACAATCATCTGGCACAATGGATCTAGCCTATTTCAGGTAGAAAACGTTCTAAGGTTAATGTTTTTAGCTGGTTTTTTTGTATCAGCTACCTGTAGATCGTTTTATCAGTGGTGTATATCTGCACTTTAACTGTAACACGGTGTCCTTCTGGAATTTGTCAGTGGAAAATGCTAGTTGATTCTGTATATTTACTAATTTAATTTAAGTACAATTGAATTTTTGACTTTCAACCCTGGACTAACTTCCTGTTACCCCAAAAAGGCTTATTTAATCTTCTCGACTAAGTACAATAGACAACATATATACCGTACAGTCGTTTGCAAAACTTCAAACTTCCAGTGCTGGAAGAGTCCACTTGTAAGGGGCTTTCTGCAGTAACCGCTTCCGTGGATTTGTGGATCCACGTTGTTTCCTTCGATTTGAAGTAGTCTTAAATGCACAGGATTTTCGTTTGTACACTTGCCAAAATTGCTAGCTTGATTGATGAGGTGTCATTGGGATGGTTTTTTTCCTCAGTATCTATCCTGTCACCAGTCAATTTGTGAGGGTCAGATGCGCCACGGGATAATTGCACCCCCGACCACACTGGCTAATTGTTAAAACAATTTGTGGTTTTGTCAGTCTGCGTAGCTGAATCGCAAATAGTTACTATTATGTTACTTTTAACACAAATTAATGGTACCTTGGTTCACAAAAGGTTGACCTGTATCTGCGATTCCTGAGAATTGTCTGACTCTATCCTAAAACAGTCTTTTTATCTAACATCTGGCCCACGGGCTTAAGTCATCATGGGTTGGCCATGTGTTTTAAAGCATGCCGGTAAAAACTCAATTTTTTTAAACCGCCTCATCGGAAATGAGAGCTTCTGTGGAAAAAGAATCTGGATACCCTAACTCTTGGATCCAACTGTCTCGGTAGCTATTTTATCTTGGGAAATAATTAAATCACGTAAATTTTTTGGGTAATTTACAGCCCTAGTTTCAGGATGTGCTATGATTTCACAAACTCAAATTTTAAATAATGTGACCAAAATCCTCTTAAATCCACTCAGTTATCTTTGCATTTCGGCACCTATTCTAATGCGATGATTTATCAAACTCTTTGGGTCATTTGTTTCGCTCGAGGGTAAAAGGTGGTTCTGTGTCTAACATCGTTTTCCTCACACCCCACTTATTTGAAATTGATCGAACTCATAAGTCCTTTTATCGCATTTTGAAGGTTTTTTTTGGAATTTTGTGGAATTTTTTAAATTATTCCTCAATCAGTCGAAACGGGCCGACAAAAATAGGGATTTTGCCACCTGCGTCTATTTACTACTTATTTTTTATGTACATTTATCCTTTACTACATTTTTATTTTGTTTTCCAGTTTGGCCTTGCGTGGTGAGTCATTTTGGATCGAAGTTAAATGAAATACTAAAATTAGAATTAAGTATCCTGTGATTTTATCACTATACCCCTAAAACTAGGGCAATATATTAGCGGAAGTAGTGGATTTTTAATGACTCATCTGTTCACTTTTTGTGCCCGCACATTTGTACACATTTGGTCGGTGTTCGCTTTGCTGTAAAACCAAGATCGACCGCGCATAGTTCAGGTAAAATGGCTGTAAAGCTATCTTCTCTGCATCCCCTACCTCACCATTGTGTTTGATCCCTGAAATGCAACTTCGGACACATTGTCATGATTGGTTTTCAATTTATTTTGCTCCAACCTTGCATTTAAAACTGCTTATACAGAGTGGCATTTTTTACGCCTGTGAATGACGTTTTGTGTTAAAATGTGGCATAATCAGTTTACTTTGCCGTTTGGTCCATGTGCCTCTCCTTCCCACACGTCAGATTTGAAGCCTTTTGACGTGCTTATGCATTAAACGATTTCTTACTTTAAACTACCCATGGATTTACGGTTTGCGTGAAGAGGGGTTTCCTTTGTTAATGCAAAAGAGATCGGCGTTTTAAAGCCGCGCTCTCTTCGTGATGTTTCTCCTTGCTTTTTGCTGTAGTGATTACCTCTTATCAGCGAAGTAAAGAAAATATAGTGATTTTCTTGAGGTCTTTATTTTGCATCATATTCTCAGCTAGAATCAATTCTCATTTTTTTTTCACTATAATACTCTTACAGTTCTGGTTTGGGCAATTTTTCAGTTACCTCTTCCAGATCTCCTAATGTAGATAAAAAATTAAAGTGTTGAGAATTATCAAAGACTTTGCACAATAGTTGAATAAGTGTATTTATAGGCAAGGGGCATAGTGTTGCTGTTCCTTTCTAATCCCGAGCTTAATCAAATGCATCATTGTAATAGACCAAGAACCTTTACAACTAAATAATTACTCTCTATAAAGTTATGACTTATTTGAAGCTTGCTAAAACGCTTTTTTGTGGAACTCCTACTTGTTTACTTACGCCTGGCCCATGCTCATCCCTTAGATTTTCCACATTCAGTTTTTTTGAAGTGAAGTCGTGGCGTAGCGTGGCACATAATGGGTCAAAACAGTGTCACACAATATGGTCTCGTTTCATTGCTTTAAAAACCAAGAATGTATTTAGTTTTTTTCTTCCAAATCAATTTTGTTAACTACCGCTCTTCGATTCTTCCTAACTCGTTCTGCTTACTTTGGGACTTGTTTCAGTCTTTTCGCTGTTTCAACTTGAAAAATAGCCGTACCTCTTTTTCATTCTTGGCGGATTAAAAGCCTTGAGATTTGCTCCACGCTATTGTTTTCAGGCACGAACTAAAATTGAGGTGCCTTTTTGCTTTGAGCTCGACATTTCGACACCTTAAAACTCCGATTTGATGTGCCGCTTGGGTCACATTTCTTCGTCTCGACGATATCCCCCCTTGAAATCGTGCGCTATTTGTGACTTTCAAGTATGCGTTTATCACTGAATATGCTTGACACCCTTTACTTCATATAAATCCGTCTTCTAATTTACGGTTTCGAGATGTACTTTTGATTGGGGTTGTTGACAGTTGCATTTGCAGTTTTCAAGCCACTCCAATCTCAACAATGATTACGGCACTTCTCTTTACCTCTCCTTTCCATGCACCCATAAGCCTCCACTAATGCAACCGTGTTTAGAAACACTATAAATGACATCGAAGTCTGCATCTAAAATTCCACTTTAAAGTATCTTTTTCTTTTTTAGCGTAAGGAAATGTCTCCTTCGACAGTACATCACTCGCATAACACATGATATTTGTAACCCGTTTACTGCTGGTTGAGTAGGCGTCATTAAGAACCTAGTTTCACGTCCGTTCGCCTTGCAATTCGTTGCTTTATTCAGTTAATAAATGCTTCAAATTATTACTCAGAACTTCCTCTTTGTGTCTCAGGAATTCACCAACCACTATTCAAGGATTACTGCTTTCATAGCTCGAGCAACAACTTCCCATTTGATTTCACCCAAATTAAATGTGCAGTTTTCACCAAGAATTAGGCCCTCAAACTGCGTTACAACTTCACATTGCTTATTTGTTCCTTCTACTTGTCTGTGGTGCTGTACCTAGCCTCTACGACTAATTATAGAGATGACCGCCCTCATCCTTAATCTTCTGATTATTAGTTCCTGTCCGTTTATGACCTCCAAAATGTCCCTACTTCTTATCTTCGTAAGCGTTCAATCAATTGCCCCTTTGATAGCTTTGGGTCGGTTTTAAATGTCCCTTCTGTTCGCTATTGTCTCTGATGCATCTCTTGTGGACCAGAGAAATGGGTAAGTCGAATTTTTCGGGGTGACTAAACGGACTTGAGTGCTATCCATCATGCACAATGACTAATGAGATGAAAAGAATATACTCGCGTCGAAACCCCTATTAAGCACAAAAAAATTCTAAAATTTCATTGGTATTGTAGGAAGTCATGAATATGGCACGTGTGTGTGTCATATGATTTATTATCATATGGATGTTTTGACTATCGGGATTCTGCGCTGTGCATCCGTAGTCGTGGCATCTTTGAGACGCTTCGTATCTGTAAAACCCTTTGATCCTAATGCTTATGGTGTAGTCATTGAAATTCTTTAGTTTGTAGAATGCGAACCGTATCCATTAAGTATTTTTTCACTGCTTATACCCCAAGAAGTCACACTATTTAAGTAGAGTCTCCCATTAATTAATACCATCATGAAGTTATGAAGTTTTGTCATAAGTAAAAATCCAACTTTACAGGTTCCCATTCATTTTTCACTAGTAATCACGTTGATGGGATTCGGACTCACGAATTCGAACTAGTTTAATCTTCTACCTGCCTTTTGAAAATGCATAATTTGTTGCAGTCTTTATAACCGAGTTTTTCTCATAACTGTTTGAAATTCCATGTGGAGCCCATTTTCAAAAATCCCTTTTTGATACACCGAATCCGTTTCCCCCTCTTTCGAGGTGGCTTTGTACTTATAAGTCAACTCGTGGGCGTTACAAGTACCATATTTATGCCGCACTTATAACACGTATTTTTCTCCATTAAGGATCACTTACTCGGCTTGCCCTGACTGCCTTTTTGGCTATAATTGTGTAAATGGGCGTTTTTTGCTCCTTCGTCTTGTCTTACCCTTCTCAACAAGCGTTCTCTAGATTTATGTACCAACAAATTGGCCTCCACATTCCAGGATAGTTACAACTGCTTGGCGTTTGTGGGCCTTCAAATTAATTGTCCTCTATTCTTGTTAGTTTTAACCAGGAAAATCAGAGGCCGCCGAGAGTTTCGCATAATTTGGGCCGAGACATCCATTCTGAAATTCAATAGAGCTAGCGCGAATAGACGACAGACTCGTTTCCATGACTACAGTTTTGTAGTGCGTATTAAGGGAATGGAAGTGGATTGGCACCTCAATGACGAATCAGCCATCTGCCAAAATGCGTATTACCTTTTAATACTAATAAATATAATTTTATCTGGTATTTTCAAGGTAAATGCTTGCGGCTGAAATGTAGGTCATCTACTACTTCTCCTTTCTGACCCCATTGTAGTGGTTTTGAGGATTCGATAATAGTAAACTGAGGGTATCCTTCGTATGCTCTTCCTCCAATCTTGGCCTGTTAGTGTTGGAAGATCCATTTAATCATTTAATGGCGCATTTTTGTTCAGATCATTATATTTTCAAGGGAACAGTGTCATTAAAAGTGGATTTTCAATCGTTTTGTTGCCTAAGTGGATCGAGTTTGGTCGCTTATTTCAGAGAATGGCTCACAGCTTCCACATCCTCTGGAGAAATGCTAGGTAGAAAGCTGACACCGTTTGGAATAGAAATCTGCTTTTTATTCCAGACTTATTACTAGCCGAAAAACTACGCTCACTTACTACATTTAGTTGACTTTATCTGTGGAAAACTTGTCGGTAGCAAATCGTAGTTGGATGATTTTCTCACTTGCCATTGTAGGTGTACCTCATAGCCACCCACGGTCTGCTGACAGGAAATGCGGCTGAGAAGATAGAGCAGAGTCTTTTGGACGAGGTAGTGGTCACCAACACAGTACCCCACGAGGTGCAGAAAATGCAGTGCCACAAGATTCGCACTGTGGATATCTCGCCTTTGCTGGCCGAGGCCATCCGACGCATCCACAATGGGGAGTCCATGTCCTATCTCTTCATGAATGTCTCCAAAAAGGATTAGGTGCACTCTTCTCAATTTCCAACAGCTTCCCACCATCAAATTTTTGCCCTTATTTGGTACAAATAGAAACCTACCAGGCAAGCGAGAGGACTATTGTGCGCGAGAGGGTTTGTAGGCCCCATAAATTAAATTTGCTGTAATGTTCTGGCGTGTTTTCTAGTCTAGTGAATAGTGATGGTGGGAAAAAGCATTTTTTAGCAGTTTTTTACGGAAATGCCCCTAATTTGCTGTAATTGCAAGGTGCTTGGAAACAGGGTGTTCTCAGTACCCTTCTGGGGACGACAAAGGAGTTTTTGGCTTGATTAAAATGATTTGAATAAAGATTTTTTACGTGGGCATTAGGAAACAGCGTGGGCGGACGGAAGTTCTTTAAAAGGATTTGCACGCCGCGGCAATGCATTAGGGAGGCGTAGTGGCAGAGCACGTGCATTGTAATTGCCTCGTCCGATCTTCGCAACATCACGGACCATTTGGCTAGGCTTCGAGAGTTGTTTTTTGAGGCATATTTTTTGTTTGCAGCAGTACATTTTCGATTCTTGCAGTTGCTCAGTGGAGGTATGAGGTGTCCATTTTCAACTCGACAATGTTTATGCAACTTTTACTTTATTTTAAGTGCATACGATCTACTGAAAATGGATGAGTTATGGTTCAATGTGCCGAAAAGTAGTAATTAATTAAGTATGCCTTTAGATCTGAGAAACGTTTCTGATCGTGAGCTATGATAAGTTGTCGGCACCAAAGTTTGATGTCATTAGCGTTTAACCAATTTCTAATGGAACCAAGGGGAGCAACAAATTAGTGGAGATTCGATCTATTTCTCTGCTTTCTAAACAAACTGCAGGGAATAAATAAGTTTCCGCTCTCATATCAGATTAAGAAATGTAGCTTCCAAGGTGCATAACCGTGGGAGTGTGATAAACCATTGCTTCCCAATTACTGCTTTGACTATTGCCTACAAGTTGGTTTTGTAACTGTACCTCTTTATAAGCAACTTGAGTATGTGTAGCAATCAACCTGATGAAAACACCTACGACTCTGGAATAAGGTTTGGAGTGTTGTGCCTCCACCTTTTTGTGCCCTCATTGAAGGTGTTTATTCGTTCCTTTGCATAAAAGTATCATCAAGTTCCCTTATCAGGCGCTCTACTCTGTGCTGCAATTAGGAAGGCCAGCATCAAAATGATTGTCAGAGGTGGTCGAATTCAGCCTGATTTTTGGGAGAGGAAGTAACAGCTATAAAGACGCACACTAATTCCCCGGCAGATGGTAGGTTATCGTCGCAGTTGCCGTTGAAAATGGGCGGCATATTTTGTTTGCTCAGGAGCATTTGACTAAACATATCACCGTGCCCTACCAATTCACATGCCCCTAATTCGTCCACGTATGTGTGCGTGTGCGCACAATCAAAAGTTTTCATGAATGATTTAATAAAACGGGAAGTTGGAGTACACTATAGAAGCATTTTTTTATTCAAATCCGGCCATTATCTCCAAAGTCTTGGAAAAAGTGCGTTCATGAAATTCCACTGGATCTTGCCATGCTTCGGTAGTGACCTATTCCGACTGTCACTATCAGTGACGATGTGTTTTAAAAGACTACGGATTTCGAAGAAAGTATTTAGTACTTTTAAAACAAAAGGTGAGCACTTAATTTTAAATGCAGAATAAGTGTCAACGCCTACTACTAACTACTAATTAAAAGTAGAGCAAAACAGAGACACGGTATCGTGGTTGTCTTTACCAAATTTTGGTAGCAGAAGCGAAGCGCTCCCTCTGCGCTATTTGCGAACTTAGAAGTAAAGTGGAACTAATCTTGAGCAAAATTGTTAACATCTTGTTTCCGTGACACAAAAAGCTTCGTTTTGTATTTTGAAAGCTTTAGTTCGTAAGTCTATTTAACGCAGGTTGATTAAAGTGGTTCTAGTTTGTGATAATTTAAGCCGGTTTTAAACAAATTAATCTTTCTGAACAGCATAGTGATTACTATATTTTGGTACTTTTCGAATCAGTCAATGCACCCAAATGATATAGGATATAGTGTAATACCTTGGTTGTTCGTTTAACTCTCAGTTTTGGCAACGGGTCACTTAGGGGCTCCACCATTGTATCTCCACCCGGATAAACCGTCCTCCCAGCCATGCCAGTAGTCCCAAGCCCTGCTGTATCCCGATGATACATATTCTACCCGAGAATTGTCTTCTCTCGTCTACAGGAGTGTCTCGGAGCGTTGCATTAGTGCTAACCTGTTGCATATTGTATTCGCAAACTAAAATAAACTCCCTCCTTTATTGAGAAATTGTAAGTCTGACTTATTAGGTGTCTTTGTGACACAAAATTTTCCTTCGACTGAAAAGCTTTAAGCACTTGAACTTCTCGGGATATTTTTTTGTAGGGTACTAAACACACGAAATAGTTCAAGTTTGCTTTAGCTTCAACTTGCATAAAAGACGGTCTTCAAAGCGAACATATTGTATGACCCTCCTTCGCAGTGCAAGAAAAAGTTTCCCTTTCATTTAGCATTTCAAAAAGTGCTTGAGGTAGGACTATATTACGAATTATAGACTGCTAGTAATTTTCATCAATCTCTTGCATAATATCGCGCCGAAGATACGACCATGCTTTTTGTATTCCCATACTTCGCACCGCGAAGGCAATCCTTTGGGGATGATTTCCTAATTGAGATTTGCTTTAAGTAGGCTGCATGAGCGCTCCTGATAGTGCCAAACTTCGTTAGACGGGCCATGAAGTCAATTGACTTCTCTTTTGTTAATGTGGGTACAGACTACCAGACGCGTCGACTAATTTAACACACAGCAGTTCAAAGGCTACATCAAAAGGATAGGCTCTTTCATTTTTTTTCAATCAGAATGGGAATGTTACTATCTAGTCCCTTGAAACTAGCCATTTTCCTCCACCCCCTAAGTTGATATAGTCTTTTCCATAAAATAGTTCAATCAGGTCCCCAGGGTGAGCCTAAATAAATTTTGATTGAAGTAAATAGAGGTAAACAAGGTGTATTTCGCACGGAAGTCGAATTTCCCCACGTTAAACGTAAAGGCTGTCGGAACACATGTAAGGCACAAGTGAAGCATTACTGGGAGAAGATTACATTAAATTCGCAAAATAGTCGACGGTAAATAAATGATAAAAAGAAAGGAGAATTTTAATCGCGTGCCAAGCTTTCGCCCTTGGAAGTAATGTTTCGCGGGCGTCAACGGACTGAGACTACTTTGGGACTAAATTAAAACCATCCGAGATTTCAATCTTTCCTTTTTTGACTAACTCATTTGTCTGATTTGCAGAAGGATTTCACGGTTTGTCGTGGTCTTAATAGGATGGTCAAGTTAAAATTATTTGCTTAATGCTCTTTGACATTACCACAGTGAGGCTCTGGCAAGGTATAAGATTTGGAGTTCTCTTTATCCACTACGCAATATTTGGTTTACCCTTATAAAACAATTTCTTAATAAGAACATTGAACTTGAGCTGTACACTTTTTCTTCTGGAGGGAATTATCTTTCTGGACGTCATAACCGACTCAGAAGTAAAATGGTTAAAAGCGACCTAAATTTCTGTGCAACTGGCAGACAGCTCAACGACCTCGATAAGTTTAAAACCCAACTTTGCCGAAGATTGTGGAAAACCAATTGATGCCTGCAACTGCGAGAAGTTAAACTATTTGAGTTAAGATCGTCGAAAGAAACTGAAACAAGTTTTGCATATCAAGTGTATTACTATGCACCTTCGGGTGAAAACAAGGGAGAAGGGGGCGGGATAAAAGAAGGCTTGAAAGCTATAGGGAGGCAAGGTAAGATTAACTCTACATAAAAAATTGTTTTAATCTTCAAATAGAGTGCCTAATGACCTGTCAAACTCTAAAGTTGACCTTTCGATCGTCCACATACCTCTAGCTGAGCGAATTCCCTAAAGAAGTGAAAAGACCCAATACGCGGGCGGAATGAGTATTGTCAACTTACAGTAGGGATTGGGGTTACTGGCAAGATACAGTGATGGGGATCCA